TCAGGAAATTCTCTAATAATAATAAGACTTGTTGTTCTTTCTCTTGTTTTAGATTCTTTGACATGGTATTAGAGCCTGTGATCTGAGATTTCTTAATCGTATTTCACTGGTAATTGTCTGGTACTCATCAGGCTCGACAGTCTAGGGTTTCTTTGGTCTTCTTCTTGGTGTTTTGTGCGTTCGGTTCGCCTCTCCGAGTGGTTCTCCTTCCTCAGGTTGTCTCTCTGCTTGGCTTTTTGTTCGTCTCTTGCTTTGATCAGGTTGGTTCCCCGCTCGTCGTTTCCCCTTTGTAGTTCTTTGCTTCGTTCATCGCAGCTCAATCGAGGGTTTCACGACCAAGTTTGACGGAAATTTTTTCCTGCTGTGGGAATTTCAATTCCGTGGAAGGGAAACGTTCGCTTCCCATCTTGACATGAAAGGGCAGTCGCCTCGTCCCGCTCCTGGTTCCGTCGAGAAGGACGTCGTCGACTGGGCTGCTGGTAACACCCAGGTCATGAGATGGCTCTCGTCGTCAGTGGATACAACTACAGCTTTGAGTTCGCCGGTTCACTGATGCTAGTGATATGTGGAAACACATATGCTCGACTTATACTCAGAATGATGCAGCTCACCAGTTCGAGCTTGAGACTCAGATTGCGGCATTCAAACAGGGTGATGGATGTTCGTACGCATTATCAGGCTATTTCTACCCTCTGGACTGAGTATGATCTTCTAACAGCGTCCCTTATTTCGACGACAACCTCTGTTGAAGTGTTGAAGGAACGGTCTCGTTCTCGCCTCATGCAATTTCTCATGAAGCTTCGTCTGGATTTTGTGCCCATCGGGGCATCTCTACTTCATCGTCAGGTTGCTACTATAGATGAAGCTCTCGCCAAACTCATTCTCGAGGAGACTCGTTTGCGCAGTCAGCAGCAGCTTGATCAACATATGTCCTTCCCCAAGGCGGCGTTCGATGTTGGGCGTGGTGGTTCCAGTAAACTTCAGTTTCAGCGAGGTGATACCAGCCATCTTACATGTCATTATTGCAATGAACTTGGACACATTCAACCGCATTGCAAGAAGCGCAATATTTGCATCTACTGCAAGCGCTCCGATAATATCATCTTGGAGTGCAAATCTTTGGCTCGTTGCCTACGTGGAGGACCTTCTTCCTCTGCATGTTCGCGTCCTAGCTCGACGGTGGCCCGTAGCGGTGGTTCGAGTTATGCTATTGAGGGCGCTACTTCTCGTCCCGCCACACCTCCTGTTGGTTCGAGCGGCTCCTCTTCCTCCATCCTCACTGCTAACGTAGTTCGTCGTTTGGTTGCTAAAGTTCTTCAGGAGACTCTCCCTGTTCCTTTGAATTCTGCCTTCGCGAATGGTGGCGCATCAGGTACTTCCCGCTGGTTACTTGACTCTGCTGCTTTTAATCACATGACTAATGCCCGTTCCTATTTCACTACTTAGCGCCCATCCTCTATTCACTCGCTGCAAGTAGCTAATAGTGCTCACATTCCTGTTCATGTTATTGGAACGACCACTACTTATCGTGTGAACCTTGCTAATACGTTGTATGCTCCCATGATCGTTCTTAAGCTGGTCTCGGTTGGACAACTGATAGAAGATGGTTGTGAGCTTCGGTTTGATCGAACTGGGTGTGTTGTGCAGGATCCGATAATAGTGAATGTGATCGGGAAGGGTAGGAAGGATGGTCGTGTCTTTATTCATGAAGAACATGGTGTCTTGGAGTCAAACTCGAAGAACCCGTTGGATTCAAGACTAGGGGCGCACATGGCTTATACTGGCATATGGGCGCCTAGTAGTTGTGCGTCGGATTTGTTTTCTAGTGTTTTAGACTCCTCTGCAGTTTCGAAGAATAATTCGGTTTTGATGTAAAGCCCAAGTGTTGTTTGGATTTTACCAAACATAATTCGTTGTGGAATTTATGGCATTGTTGCCTTGGGCATCCCCTCAAGGATCGACTATTTGATATGTTTCAGCGTGGTTTGATTCCAGATTGTTTGCCTTTGCAGTTTGATCCATCTGATACTTGTGTTAGTTGTATTGAGCATAAGACGTCTCAATCACCCTCTCCCTCAGTGATACAGTTTATTCTGACCCGTTTGAGTTGGTGCACACAGATCTTTGGGGGCCGCCTCTTGTTCTCTCTCACATGGGTTTCCGCTATTTTGCGCTCTTCATTCATCATGCAACTCGGTTTGCATGAATTTATTTTCTTCGGCGAAAATCCGAGCTCATCACTCACGCCCAATACTTTGTAAAAATGGTTCAAATCCAGTTTGGGAAGACAGTCAAAGCTATTCGATCAGATCCCATGGGCGAGTTCAGTTCTATCCTCATACCGAGTCATTATCCTTATGCTCAAGGGAACATCAAATGGGAATCGTCCATGAAGGAGGAGTTATGTGCGTTAGAAGAAAATAACACGTGGAATTTAGTTCCATGACCAGCTGGCATTCAGTGATTGGTTGTCGGTGGGTATACATCGTTAAAATGAAACCGGATGACACGCTAGATAGATACAAGGCGCGACTTCTGGCCTAGGGATTTATACAGGAATATGGAATAGACTATGAAAGGACATTTGCTCCAGTGGTGAAGATGCAGACAGTTCGCAGTGTGTTGGCAATAGCAGCCATGAAGCAGTAGAAGATTGTTAAGTTTGATGTGAAGAATGCATTCCTTCACGGAGACAATTTACATGGAGTGTCCAGAGGGTTATACAAAGGGAGGACCAGGGATGGTTTGTAGACCGCGACGTTCTCTCTATGATCTTAAACAGACACCGAGGGCCTGGTTTGAGAAATTCCTTAGCACTATCATTCAGGTAGGTTTTGTACTGAGTTAGAATAATCCGTCGATGTTCACTCGACAGACTGCGCAAGGCAACACGGTTATGCTTTTATATGTTGACGATATGATTGTGACAGGGAGTGATATAGAGGGGATTAAGGAGCTTACACAGTCACTGCACACGGCCTTCAATCTCAAAGAACTGGGTGATGCATCTTACTTTCTGGGTCAGAGATACATAGAAGTGAAGCCAGTTTGCTTGTTAATCAATAGAAATATATTAGTGACTTATTGGGGGCAACACAATTCGCAGATTGCAAGCCATGCTCGACTCTGATGGTGAAAAATTTGAAGCTCAGTCGTGGGGACGGAGTTTTGTTAGAAGATCAAACGTTCTACAGAAGCATTATGGGAAGTTTGATCTATTTAACATATACACGCCCTGACATAGCCTACGCAGTTCAAGTGGTAAGCCAGTTTATGGGGGTTGCGCGCACAACTCACCTGGATGTCGTTCATAGACTACTGAGATACCTAAAGGGGACTAGAGATGTTGGAATATTCTTTCATGCAGATGGAGAACCGGTCATTGAAGCATTTGAAGATGCAGATTATGCTGGATGTCTTGATACGAGAAGGTCCACATCAGGGTGGTGCATTAATATTGGGCGGTCCTTTGTGTCCCGGCGTTATCGAAAACAATATAAAGTATCGAAGTCTTTCATAGAAGCAGAGTATAGATCAATGTCAGAGGTTAGTTCGGAGATGGATTGGCTGCAGAGGTTGTTTCAGGAAATTGAAGTAGAATGTCATATACCTATGCGTATCTATGGAGATAACATGAGTGCTATCCAGATTGCAAATAACCTGGTACTACACGACAAGACAAAACACATTGAGGTGCACGTTCACTACATCAGGCAACTTGTGGTGGAAGGAGTTATTCAACTCAGTTACTTGTCTATAGAAGATCAGACTGTAGATGTCTTGACGAAGGGAGTCAGTTCAAGCAGACATTGGTACCTATCTTCCAAATTGATGTTGCGTACCCAACATCAATTTGAGGGAGGGTGTTTGTTTGTGGAAGTACATGTACCAATGTGTAATTAACCATTAAACCGTTTAGCTAGGGTTTGGAGAAAACCTATATATTTACTTGTGTATCATAGTTGAAAGGTAACGAATAATAATACAAAAAATCTGATAGAGATCCTCTCCGTGGACTAGTGTCACATTGACGATACCACGTTAAAAAAATCGGTGTTCTTTCTCTTGTTTTAGATTCTTTGACAACGGTCGCGTAGATTGTATTGCAGGAGATCGTAACTAGTGTGGTTTGGTTTGATGAGGAAAGATCCAAAAATGGAAGGGAAAGAGTCCCACACAAAAATGTCTGTTCAGCTCCCACCAATCACGTTACAAATTATTCTTCATGCATTTATATTTTAATTCAAAAAATTTCCATGTAGCTACTTCCTAAAACGCTCTTCAAGTGCTACTGGCAGCACGATGAAGAAAAGAAACGGACGGATATGAAAGGGGAAGCGAAATTGACAACCCCCTTAGGGGGTTGTCAAGCTATCCCGTCCCCTATTGAAATGTCTAAAACAAAACAAGGAGGAAGAAGTGTTTGAGCAGCAGCAATGCATCATCTTCTTTCAACTAAATAATAATAATAATAATAATAATAATAATAATAATAATAATAATAATAATTTGCATATAATAAATGAGAGTTCCAACTTCCATACTATAACAAACAGCCTTCCCTTCCCCGCAGACTGGAAAACCAAACAGAGAGCGCAGAAAATTAAGCTAGCTAGCTGACGGTACTAACAAAGTCACCAACTTAGTTAACGAAGATTGCTTTCATAACTTTCCTTTGTTTCCTTCCTTGTGATGGCTTATTTGTATATACTATATAATATCCAATTGCTGCCAGGCCAGCTGCATTGGCAAATCCGCATGCAGCATAGCTTCAGTCTTCAGACCTTAGGCCGGCCGGCATTCGCCATCTTAATTTGTTGGCACTATTTGGTGAATCATGTTTCCCTACTTCATCTACTTCCCGTTAATTAGTAGATTAAAGAAAGTTTCTCCAACAATGCAGGGCTTCAATAAAGTAACACGAGAGCTAATTAGACAATGAGCTCTTTAACGTGAACAAAAGTGAAGAACATCGCTGGGTTTAGCCCAAAAAAAAAAAAATGGAGGCCGCCACCTCCGGCAACTTGGTAACAGGGTCTCACCACAAGAACGAGCTGATATTGATCAGGACTGAACTTCCTGCTTCTGTAATCGTCCCTCTCCTATTATATATTGTGTTCATCTGCAATATTACTCTGGTCTGTAACCGGCTCACAATTATATGTAATGTAAGCAGGCAAAAGATGAGTGGGAAGAGTCGTGCAGTGGGCAGAGTTGCAGGATTTGCGGCGACCAGATAGGTCTGAATGCCGACGGTGAACTGTTTATAGGCTGCAATGAGTGTGCATTCCCCATATGCAGAACTTGCTACGATTACGAGCGCATAGAAGGGACTCAAATCTGCCCAAGATGCAAGACCAGGTTCAGCCGTCTTAAAGGTACTTAATAAGCACCGATGACGACATGATTCTACTCCCCAATGATTCGAGTTATTGTGATAAACTGGTTACGTAACTCCGAATTTCTACAGGGTGTTCCAGAGTGCGCGGAGATGAGGAAGAAGATGATGCAGAGGACGTGGAAGAAGAGTTTAACTTTGGTCAAGAAAACCATGGAGGAGGAGGAGGAGGAGGAGAAAGAGAGGCTGGGATGTTGCAGGATGATGATGCTCACAATCACTTCGCCTTGGATTTGGCTTACCCTGGTGCTCTTAGTCCTCCACCTCAATTCCCACTCCTCACCGATGGTCGAATGGTACCAAACCATATGATCGAATTTTCGGTCACAAACAATGCTCATGTTCTTCTCCAAACTTTCCCCTTTGCTCCGTCGATCAATCTCGCGTTTGCCCTATATGTTGCAGGCCACTGAAGATCATATGGCTGTCACTCCTTGTAACGCCCACCAACATGCTTTGGTCGTCCCATTATTTGTGGGTGCTAGTAGCCCTGACTTTAGAAGGCATGAGCAATCCTCCTTTCCAAATAGTCCGTTTCCTCCAGGTAATCTATCAATTGGGTAATTGGTCATTCATTTGATCGATTTTGTTCAAAGTTCATCGCCTTCTTCATTTTATGCATATCAATAGGCCAACCCAGATCCATGGATCCCTCCAAGGACTTGACGGCGTATGGCTATGGAACCGTCGCTTGGAAGGAGAGGATGGAGATGTGGAGGCAACAAAAGGAAGCCAAGCTGCAGCTGATGAACAAGGAAGACGATGACGACAATGACCCGATTGCCTGGAATGCTGAAAATGATGATCATGAACCTGCACTGCCGCTGTAAGCACCCTCTAATTAATTTGAACCGTGTAACAGATAAAATTAAATAAGCCAAATTGTAATGTTCTAATCACTGTCTATTGGTTCTGTTTCAGGATGGACGAAGGAAGACAACCACTATCACGAAAACTGCCCATCCCTTCGAGCCAAATCAATCCTTACAGACTAATCATCCTAATCCGACTCGTGGTTTTAGGATTCTTCTTCCACTACAGAGTCTCCCACCCTGTGACCAACGCTTATGGACTGTGGCTAGTTTCGGTAATCTGCGAAATCTGGTTTGGCATTTCATGGGTTCTTGATCAGTTCCCCAAGTGGTTCCCCATAGAGAGAGAAACGTACCTGGACAGACTATCACTAAGGTACGAGAAAGAAGGGCAGCCATCCCAACTTTCTCCGGTGGACGTATTCGTGAGCACGGTGGATCCACTAAAAGAGCCGCCTCTGGTCACAGCAAACACCGTTCTCTCGATTCTAGCCGTTGACTACCCGGTCGACAAAGTGTCGTGTTATGTCTCCGACGATGGTGCTGCCATGCTAACGTTCGAAGCGCTGTCTGAAACGTCCGAGTTTGCCAAGAAATGGGTGCCTTTTGTTAAGAAGTACAACATTGAGCCCAGGGCGCCAGAGTGGTACTTTGCTCAGAAAATTGATTACCTCAAAGATAAGGTGCATACTTCCTTTGTCAGGGACCGAAGAGCCATGAAGGTATGGGGGAATTTCGTTTTGTTTATTTTGACTATGGCTTTCCCTATAATGTTTTTTTTGCATTGACATTTTCCTCACTTGCTGTGGATTACTTCTGTACTACAGAGAGAATATGAAGAGTTCAAAGTGAGGATTAATGTGTTGGTTGCCACTGCTCTAAAGGCCCCAGAGGAAGGATGGATAATGCAGGATGGAACTCCATGGCCTGGGAATTCGATTCGCGATCATCCTGGAATGATCCAGGCATGTTTACAACCTACAGATACTCACTAGCTCGTCAACCCAAACCATCTCCCACCTCTATTAAGTTCTGTATATATTCAATGATGGTGTCAATGTACGACTTCTGTTACAGGTTTTCCTTGGACAAAGTGGAGGAGATGACGAGGATGGAAACAAGTTGCCGCGTCTGATCTATGTTTCGAGAGAGAAAAGACCAGGCTTCAATCACCACAAGAAGGCTGGGGCAATGAATGCTCTAGTAAGAGTTTCTGCCGTAATATCAAACGCACCATACGTGCTCAACTTGGACTGTGATCACTACTTCAACAACAGCAAGGCTCTGAGAGAAGCAATGTGCTTCCTCATGGATCCCATGCAAGGAAAGAGAGTATGCTTCGTACAGTTCCCTCAGAGGTTTGATGGTATCGACAGAAACGATAGATATGCCAATCGAAATACTGTATTCTTCGATGTAAGCAACAAGTGTTTAACCATGGAGAATCCACTCATTTTGTTTCTCTCCTATATTCATATGGCAGTCTATTATACATCATTTGGGTTTTTGGACAGATAAACATGAAGGGTCTAGATGGAATTCAGGGGCCTATATACGTTGGAACAGGATGTGTGTTCAGGAGGAGAGCACTCTATGGCTACGACGCTCCCACGAAGAAGAGACGAGGCGGCAGAACTTGCAACTGCATGTTTAGCAAATGGGATTGTGCTTCTTTCTGTTTTGGAAACAAGAAGACGAACAAGAAGAAGAAGAAGGTCCAGAAACCAAAGCTTGAGATGATGATGCAAGCTAGCGAGTCTCGAGCTGATCTCGAGGCCACCGGACATCTGCCTACTGGTAACAACAAGGAAACCCCAACCGAGAAACCTCACCTGAAGTTGCAGAAAAAGTTTGGACAATCTCCGGTGTTCGTGGGGTCGACCCTTTTGGAGGAAGGTGGCACTGTGCAAACCTCCGGCCCGGCGTCTCTGCTCCAAGAGGCTATTCATGTCATAAGCTGTGGCTACGAGGAGAAGACAGATTGGGGGAAAGAGGTTGGCTGGATATATGGGTCGATTACAGAGGACATATTGACTGGGTTCAAGATGCACTGCCATGGATGGAGATCAATCTACTGCATTCCTGAGAGGCCTGCTTTCAAGGGTTCGGCTCCCATTAATCTCTCCGACCGTCTTCATCAAGTCCTCCGATGGGCGCTTGGCTCGATCGAGATCTTCCTGAGCAGGCATTGCCCTCTGTGGTATGGCTATGGAGGTCGGCTCAAATTGTTGGAGCGTTTGTCCTACATCAATGCCACCATTTATCCACTGACCTCGATTCCCTTGATGGCGTACTGCACTCTCCCGGCGGTTTGCTTCCTCACCGGCAAATTCATCATCCCGGAGGTACAACCAATCGAAAGACCCTAAAAGACAATTAATCCGACCATCGAAACCCTAACAATTGGGTTTTTTTTTTTTTTTGTGCAGCTGAACAATGCAGCCAACCTATGGTTTCTATCACTATTTATCTGCATCTTCGGCACGAGCCTTCTGGAAATGCGGTGGAGCGGGGTCGGGATCGACGAGTGGTGGAGGAACGAGCAGTTTTGGGTGATCGGAGGCGTGTCGGCGCATTTGTTCGCGGTGTTTCAGGGGCTTCTGAAGGTGATCGGAGGAGTGGACACGAATTTCACGGTGACGTCAAAGGCGGGAGGGGTCTGCAACGGTGGGGATGAGTACGAAGGGATCTCATCGGAGCTCCATGCGTTCCGGTGGACGACGCTCCTCATCCCGCCGACGACGCTCTTGATCGTCAACTTGTTTGGGATCGTTGCGGGGATTGCGAGCTTCTTGAACGACGGGAAGGAGTCGTGGGGGATCTTGTGCGGGAAGCTCTTCTTTGCGTTTTGGGTGATGATTCATCTGTACCCTTTCCTCAAGGGGCTTTTGGGCCGGCAGAATCGGACTCCTACGATCATCATCCTCTGGTCCATTTTTCTTGCCTCGGTTTTCTCGATTTTGTGGGTTAGGATTGATCCCTTCGAGCCCAAGGCCAATGGGCTGGTTCTTGAAGAATGTGGGCTGGATTGCGAATAAAACAACAACAAGAGATCTGGATTGTAATTTATTTTTCCTTTTTAAACAAGAGGCAATAGGTTGTTAGCATGGACCATGAAATCGGATCGTATAGGTCGGTTCAACTGAAAATCGGACTAAAAACAAAACGACAGGCATTTGATGGCGTAATGAACTTGAACTTGTACATTTACGTGATGGTACAACTTCAAGTTGTAAAGTTGTACCATAACATAATGGTACAAATTGCTTTACGGGACAACCTAAACTTATACATTTAATGTTATGGTACAACTTTAAGTTGTACATTAAAACACCAATACTATATAACATGGGTTAATTGCATGGTTGGTCACTGAGATTACAAAAAACGTTCAAGTTTGGTCACTTGAAATATTTAAATCCATTGTTGGTACTTCAGTTATTGAAACCGTTCACGTTTGGTCACTCTCCGTCCAACTCCGTTAACTTTTGCTTACATAGCGGTCAACTCTAAAAGTTGACCGTTAAATGTGTGACGTGGCAATTTAAGATTAATAAAATTAACAAAATTAAAATTATAAAATTACCATCTCATTTCCACCTCATTATTACTTTTATTTAAAATAAATAAAAAAATTAATTTTTTCTAATCCCAATACTAATACCGACCGGCATACCTCCGCTGCCGCTTCCATTGTTGAAACCCGCTACTGATTCCGGGTTTCAGATTAGAGGAAGCACCGGAAGCCGTTGCGGGGAAATATAACGCGATAACTGTCATCTCCAACAACGCCTCTCTTCTTCCAGTGCCCAATAGCTCTTTCAGTGTCCTCTTGGAGACAGCGAACAAAGAAAGAAGGGTGTTTGTTATTTGAAAATGGAAACTCTGCTCTTTGTTTTTTTGTATTGGAGTTTACAAACAAGGGAATGAGATCGGGGCACATGATCCGCTTGCCCAGTTGGAAACCAAATCAGAAGAAGGATTTAATCTCCTCCCGGCTGACCACATCAAAGAAGTCGAGCTCTGACACCAGCTTCCGCTTGGAGGAGATCGACCTGCTCTTCGGTTTCCTCGGCGCCGGCGGGCAGCTCAGGATCGTGGGGATCTTGAATTTCGCCGATTTTGGTGTTTGACACTCATCGCGGTCATCGCTGGTGGAATTCACGACCTCCTCCTCCACCGGATTCCGATCTGAATTATCGCCCAGAACAACCGTAACCTTCTTCGCCACCGCTGCTGCTGCAAGCTGGAGGAGTGTCCCAGAGAGAGAGAAGGGAGGGAGGATGCGACTTTCTGGTTCCCTTTTCCAGATCCGTACCTTTGCCGGCCTCCCGCATCGCCGTTTCTGCACCCTAGCGCTACTCTTTCTCTTAACTATTTGGAGTACAGATCCAAGTTGAGCAAATGGGAGATTTTGGTTTGAGAATATTTTCAATCTGCAAGCCTATTCTCCATGCTTCCTCTAATCTGAAACCTAGAATCAGTGGTGGGTTTTAACGATGGAAGCGGCAGGGACAGCGGGGTATGGGTACTGATATTGAGGATTAAAAGAAATTAGGGTTTTTTATTTATTTTTAATAAAAGTGATAATGAGGTGGAAATGAGATGACAATTTTAAAAAATATAATTTTATTAATTTTAAATTGCCACGTCACACATTTAATGGTCAACTTTTAGAGTTGACCGCCACGTAAGCAAAAGTTAACGGAGTTACGGAGAGTGACCAAACGTTTTCATGCATAACATTAACTCGTTTTAAGATAGAAATAGGTTGTGGTAGCTGCAAAAACCATAAACCTAATGATCCAATAGCCACCACTCTCCATTGAACGACCACATTTTTATCTACTCTATCTTCAATCTCAAGAAGCATATGTTTCAACCAAACATTCACTTTCTAATCCTCCTTCTGCAACTCCATTTCTGCTACTTTGATGGACCTTCTCTCTGCGGCCCTCAATTTCTCTTCCAATTGGGGTTCTTGTCAACTCGCTCTTCAACTCCTCAATCCCCTTCCTGTGTTTTGCCAACTCATCTTCCTCAGGAGCAGTTCTAATAAGTTCGCTAAAACCAAAACTCATCTCCAATTCCATAAATATGCTCATCTCCCCCCTTGCATGCCTTCACCTGCTTCAGCACACTTCTATGTCCTTCAATACCCTCTCCATTTTCATTAATATCCTCATCATCTCTCGCTTCTCTCTCTTCAACTGCTCCAGTTTTGCTTCCGCGTCTTTCAACACCCTCCTCAATTCGATCACTACCCTCAGTAACTCCCTCTTCTCTGCCTTAACCTGCTACAGTTGAATTTTTCTTCCCCCCACCACTCTCATTCTCAAACTCAATCCTAACTCTTCTACTCCAAGTTCAACACCCCAAACTCCTAGACTGTTGCATGAAAGCTCAATTTCTAACTAATTCTAAAATAATATCAAAATTTGATTAGTGAGTTGGACCATAAGAATAAAAATTAATGAGGAAAATTATGGTTGCAGAGAACATTAGTTATCACAAAATCAAATATGAGTGAAAATATTGTAATTGAAAAGAAACCTTTTTTTTTCTAATTTTGATCTTATTTTATTATTTCAATAGCTAAGCAAAGAACAAAAATAAAGTATCGGAAACAAACAACAAAAAAGTAGACATGGCTCTAGGAAAGTACAACTGCCCTGTTCTACACAAACATCTCTTTTGCTTACAAACAAATATAGTACCCAAACCATCGTTCAAATTCATTTTCTATATTTTATAAAAATCATTCATAAACAACAAACTTAGATAAATCGGGAAGGAAATAATAGCCTACCAGTTCAAGTCGATGAACCTTATATGAAGATAGAAACTCATTGAAGTTGAAACCTAATAACAGAAAGAGGAGAAATGACGCAGGAGATCCCCCGAGCTTTAAACATCGTATCAGGCAATAAGATCAAAAGAAATAGTTATTTTGCATGTTGTGCTCATGAGACAACGTGAAATAAAAGTCGTTTTGTTATTAATCAGAAAGATAAAACCATGAGACATAGAGAAGAAATGAATGACTTACATGTGCAAAGCGATTAACCTTGGCCGGAAACCGAAAACCTATTAAAGGTCAATGCCTGGTATAGGAAGATGAGTAAAGGCGAAAGGTATAACTGATCAAACATTGCCTTCAGCAATAGAAGCAACAAAATAGTTCTTCTGGTAGTACATCGAGGAGAGACAGAACCATTGGGTGATGCCAATGCAGAGGAATCGAGCGAGATAATCAAGGTCAGGCCATAACTACTTGATTGAACTCCATTCTATTCGCCATGGATTGATATGAGAGTTGAAATCTTCTACTTGCCCAGCCTAAATTCCCAAGAATAAAACTGTAGTACCAAGAGATACCCGAATGTTGATTTTCAAATGCTCCTTATACTGGGAAGTGAAAGCATGCAAACTATTGCACGATGGAGGGAATTTCGGAGAAAATTAGAAAGAGATAAGAACAAAGATAAAAAGGCACAAAATTTAAATTTATATTGAAAAATGCAAAGACACAACACATAATAAAGGAAATAGTTTCTTCCATGTTAACCAATTACCAATATACCTTTAGCGAAACATTAAGGAGAGAGCATGAATTCTAAAAATTGATAAAATTAAATGAAACTCTACTATGAAAATTGAAGTATTAAGCACCATGAAAATACATATGGTAGACTTAGTGCCCTTGTTAATCATGATAAAAAAGTTCTCTGCTTTTCACAGTTTCAATACATGTATGTTTTGTATTAAAAAAGGAACAACAAATACACTTAGTATAATTGGTTATGACTGCTATCTTTGTTTGAAGAGACCCAGGTTCGAGTCTTGATATTGATATTTTTTATGAAATAAATAATTAATTGTAAAGACAAAAATATCCTTCCTACTTTCACTCTCATTGAAGGAAATTTGAAATAGTGAAAAGTTTACAAAACTCTACTATATATTAATGGAGGATATATGGAAAACCAAAGGCATGTCAGGCCATGGACGACGATGTGTGGGGTATACGTCTGGCCATGGGCCATGGCCAGTGATGTGTGGAGTTTACGTCTGATCATGGCCGACAACGTATCACTCGTCGCCGTCCATGGTAGGACGTATACTACACACGTTGCCGGTCAGGGTTAATGACAGCCAACATTTTTAATAATCGGTTCGGAGATAGGTGGTGACCGAAGGGTGTGACGCGAAGCGACGTCAGCGAGGTCAACGACAGTTAACTATGTTTTGCTTTCACTCGCGAGAACTGTGGCAGAGGTAACGACGGCGACAAATATCAAAGATGGTGGTTGAAGACGGGCCAAGATCAGGTGACTAATGGGGTCCCTTAGTTAAATGACTAAGTGAATCGCAACCCTTCTACCTCATTAAAATTCAATGGCTCATATTAATCCAATTTAAGGAAGGACAATATAGTAATTACATGATTATTTAATTTATTAATTAAAAAATAGATAAAAACAAATTAATTTGGCCGCTGCTACCTTCCGACTTTCGCGGTTCCCCCGGCCGGGAAACTTTCCCTCGCAGCGTTGGTTTCTTTTCCGGCGACTCCTTCTGGCTGGCGACGACTATAATTTGGGGTGACTCCTTCTTTTAATCTTGTTCTCCATTTCTTTTGCGGCAAGAGACATGGGGAGAGAGAGAGATTTCGTCATCAACAAATTTTATGGCGGCGTAGAGAATTTCCGGCAATAGGGGAATTTTCGGTGAGAGGCGTTTGTTTTGTTATATTTGTCGGACGATTTTGTAATGTTTGTAAGTATGTTTTGTGATTTTGTATCAATTCGGTTTGTATCGTTTACCATCTAAAAATACATATAAGCATTTTCCCAAACTGCAGTTTAGAAATTTAAATTCTCTTCTCATTCATGCTTCCACGTCATTACTTTATCTCTCCTCTAATTCTGTTCCATTTTTCTTTTACCTTTTAAGTTTTAACCCTTTGGTTTTGGACTTTTGCGGTTTGGGCTTCCGCTGTTTTTTTTTTGTTTACAGCCTTTTTATTGTGAAATGCTCTTTTCACCGTCTTTCTTTCATTTAGGGATGGCAATGGGTCGGGTCGGGGACGGATAGTGCATATCCGTTACCCTACCCAAAGTAGTTCGGGTTTTACCCATACCCATACCCACATATGAAACGGGTAGAAAATTAAAACCATGCCCATACCCGTTCGGGTTTCGGGTATCCACGGTTATCCATGTGTAATGATTTCTCTTTATAACTCCAACTAATATATTAACATTCACACGTATTCTCACATTACACAAGAGGAAAAGTATGACAATAATTCACTAGAATGAAGAAAATTAATTAAAACAACACAATTTCATGAAAATATTATATTTATATGCTAAATATAAAATATGTTAGAGAAAAATAATGACTATTTCTAGACAAAATACATATGTATGTGTATAATCGGGCGGGTTCGGGTTGGATACTGAGAAACCCATGCCCACCCATTACCCGCAATATTCGGGTTCGGGTTTTACCCGTACCCACTAAATGTCCTTCGGGTTCGGGTTTTACCCTACCCGATTAGGCCGGGTTCGGGCGGATATCCACGGTTACGGATATTTTTGCCAACCATACTTTCATTTGGGGTTTGTCATAAATCTGCATAATCAACAGAGTTTATACTGTACATTTATATGTTTTGGAATACAAAATTTCTATAACCAATCAAATTTTAAAATTCAAAATTAATTTACAATGATTATAAATTTATTGTTCAAATAACGCAATGTTCTACATTCATCAAAATTTTATGGTGTTATTGCATACAATAATTGAATTAAAGTGTTTATACTTAAAAGTTCGTCAAACATCAATAATCATTGATCAATTTATGTTGCTAAGATAACTTACAATACAAGTTGGGATTAGTAAATCTTACCATCATAAGTAGGTCTATAAAAAAATTTGACACCTAATCGTGTGTAAGAATGTTGAAGAATCCAACCATCATTAAATGAATGTTCCGACTATTAATATGGTCCGATAATATATTTAGCTAAGAGTCAAATTGATCGACTAAGAATTGAATGTATTATTTACTTAATGTATTACAAATTATTGATTTAGCTGTAGATGTTTAGCTAAAAAATTAGCTTACAATGAATTATGTTTTCTTGAAGGGGTGGTTTGGAATGATCAATTGAAAAACGAGACAAGTTGTTCAATTGTCTCATTTTACAAAATGAATCATTTAAAATGAGTCAACTCGAATTGTCTGGTCTCATCCCAGACAATTTTAATTGTCTCAAAACGAGTTAATTTGAAATTACTCAAGCATCATTTAAATTTTGTGATGCCAAACAAATCAATTTGACCAAACGAAATAATTGATTCAAATTGATCCGTTAGAATTCCTCATCCAAACTATCCCGAATTTATATTGAGATAACACACGAAAGATCATAATTATTTGTGAAAACATTTAATAATACTTAAATATAAAATTAGACTCAAATTATAAATGAAAAGAAAATTCACCCGGCCGACGGGCCGGGAACATAGCTAGTTCTAGTTTGTCACTTTTATCTATTATGTTTGTAATGTTTATATGAGTAATTTGTAATGCTTGTTTGTCTAGTTTGTATACTTTATATTATGATTTGTATATTTTATGTTCATTGATTTGTAATACAACTTTACTGTTTTGTACTGTAAGTAGTGGTATTTTGTACTGTTAGTATGTTTTGTAGTGTTTGTCGGTCTAGTTTATATTGTTTGTATAGTTCGTATGTTTCGTATTGTTCGTATGTTGTGTTGCTCTAGTTTGTATTGTTCGTATGGTTTGTACTGATTGTAAGTCTGGTTTGTATACTTCATAATTTTTCATAATACCCAAATTACCCTCGTCATTAATTAAATATCCCTTTTCACTTTTTAACCGTCAGACTTATGTGTCCAAATCTAAATGTTGCGAGGGACTTGGTCAAGTGATTAAGCACCCCTTTAGTCACAGGATCCAAACCCGCTGAACATGTGGATTTTTCCAGAAATAACACCTTTAAAAAAATTACAAAAATAGCACCCATTCCGTAGAAATTACAAAAATAGCACCCCCTGGTGCTATTTTTCATGTAAACCGCACCCCCTGTGCGTTTTTCATGTAAACCGCACCCCCTTGTGCGTTTTGTCACTAAACCACACCTTGGGGGTGCGTTTTAGTTTTGTGGGCCAAAACCGCATCTTGGCCATGCGGTTTGCGGTCTGACCTAACCAAACTGCATGGCCCAGATGCGGTCTAGGCCTGACCTAACCAAACCGCATGGCCCAGATGCCAATGAATGATGTTCACCGGGTATGGATCGAATTTGATCTACAAAAAAATATTACTAACTTAAGTTAAATCTAATTGGAAAACACATGTACTCCATGAAAGAAAGTTATAGCACTTAGAAGTTTTCTAGTTACCTCTCCTTCCCAAAGTCGCTCTAGCCTCCTCCGATACTCTACCAACTTGTGTTGGGCAAGGTTATCGCATGTTGAGGCTCCAACCCACCTTATTAATAAGATGATAATAAAAATACACTCAATTAAAATAAGCTAAAAAATAAGGAAAATTGTGTTATTAAAATCATGATAGGGTATGAGAAATTTACCTACAACCATAAGCTTCGAGTCTTAGGGGATGATCGAGACCCCAATTCCTGTCGGGACATTGGAGCGGTGCAATCCATGGCAGATGCTCCCAAGCCCAAAACTGGACGATGAACATTGCGTCGCCGACCTCCCTCACAGTTTTGAGAGATGCGTTGCACAAGTGGTGGTAGATATTAGCTAGGCAAGCGGATGCCCAGCTCAACTCCCCCATCGCATCCCAACTACCAATGAGGATCCTAAGCCATCCACAACTAATTAAATTGCTCGATGTTTTTGGAGAATAACACTCCTCCTATCATGCCTATGAGATAGACACGAGCATATCTTTCCTTCTCCAGCTCCGGACTTTCCTCGGTTAGGGGCACCCCATCTTTTTCAGGATCGTGATGGTCCCTAAAATACTTCGTCAACCAAGTGATTGACGCTTGGCCTTTCCTCAATGGTGGCAAACGATCCGTCGCATCAACGCTCCCCTTGGTTGGTACTTTCACCCCCAAAACACTGTGGATGAAATACTGCCAACCGGTCATACCGTCACGATCCTCTGGGAATGATCACTCACACACACCGCTTTGTCGTCGATGGGCAGATGAGTTAGGATGACGACGTCCTTGAGTGTGATGGTGCACTCTCCTTCGCGAAAGTTGAAACAATGTGTCTCCTTCCTCCATCTCCACCAATGCGGTGATGAGTTGGCGATCGACTTTTATGCCTACAAAATGCCTAATCGACTCCAACCGTGCCCTTTTGAGACAGGGCAAGATAACTAGGTTCCATGGGAGCACATTGGCCGTACCCCTGCAGCGGACTATTTGTTGTGCCTCTTAGCAAAAATTTCAACGTTATTTATGATATATTAGTAACAGTTTAGTCTTATAACTAAATAAATTAAAATTAATGATTTAATTTCGTCCATTATTAAAATTATTTATGATATATTAGTAATAGTTTAGTCTTATAACTAAATTAATTAAAATTAATGATTTAATTTCGACCATAATTCTATTATAATTATATTATTAACAATCAAATTTAAGTAATTTGTGGTTTTTTCCAATAGGTATACATATTATCATAAAACAAACATACTAAATTAATTGACATAAATAACATTCTAAATGAATAATAATTTAAAGAGATATATACATATTCAAACATTTGAAATTAATAAAATTCATTTAAGTACACATAAACATAAATCGTATTGATTGTTTGGTAAGTAATTTAATCGTATTGGTTGTTTTAAATAATTTAATCGAATACAATGCAACACTCGTTAGACTCTTAGAAGAGGTATACATCTTCTTAGAAACGCAGCCTTTTTGACAGAAAAAGGGGGGATCGGAGGATCTCTTAATACCCGATTTTCCCAGGAAATGGGAGGATCATGATAATCGCTTAAAACCTCATTTCCTTAGACGTGCATCTCTTTATAAAGAGTCGAAGTAAGTGGCGCTATGTATTCGATTAAATTATTGAAAACAACCAATACGATTAAATTATTTCAAATTTATTTTATATTCCACTAAGTACATTAGCAAAATAAAAGAAAGATAAATGATGAAAGATTGTATGTACTGGGTGATCGTTCCAAACATCCCTTGAACGATGGTTGGGTTGGTCATACAAGTCGGTCGGATCTATAGACCCTTGATCCAAATAGTACCGTTGGTTGTATATATTCACGTCGTCCCCAACCTACGAGAGAATAACAACAAGGTTAGTACATAGATTAATTAAAAAATTTATAACAAAAACAAAAATTGACCAAAATAATGAGTACGTACCGCTTGAAATTCATCATAATAAACTCCCTCTCCTTGGAACCCCTCGTCCATTTTTTCGCGAAAGTAGGACAGAAATTCGGCGGGTTTTGAGGGAAAAACCAAAGAAATGTTTTCTGATGGCAGATCGGACTTAGCCGCAACCAACAGACTACTATTTCCTAGGCTTTTGGGGGGGGGGGGGAGGGGTTAGAGAGATAATTCTAGAGAGAGAGAGTGGAGAATGGTTGTGGTGTGAAGAAATGAGAGGGGGGAGGGGGTATTTATACCCATCAGACCGCACCCTCCAGGGGCAGTCTGGTAATTTTGCCAAAGTGGAAACCGCTCCCTTCCGATGCGGTCTCCGGGTCCCGAGGCGCCGACCGCTCCTTCACGATGCGTTCTGCGATCCACGCTGCGCTGACCGCTCCTTCACGCTGCGTTCTGCGATCCACGACGCGGATCGCTGACGTTGCGTGCGTTCTGCCCGCTAGATCGCCATACGATCCTGCGGTCTCCAAGGCCGCTGCCCACCAAACACAGACCGCACCTTGGAGGTGCGGTTCCCAGTCTGACGTGGCGCAAAACGCACCTCCAAGGTGCGATTTATACATAAAACGCACCTGGAGGGCGCAGTTTAGTTATAAAACGCATCTTGGAGGTGCAGTTTGATAAAAATGGTGCTATTTTTGTAAATGTTGTGGGCTTGATGCTATTTTTGTAATTTTTTTTATAGATGCTATTATTAGAAAAATCACCTGAACATGGGTGGTTACCGGAGGATGTGTTGGGAAGATGTAATTCAAAAAAAAAAAAATCAAGGGTATTAGTGTGATTTTTATTTTTTCAGAGCTACAAATACGCCATATTTAGGGACTACCAAGTAGCACTACCTATGACTACAGGACACTCTGTCACCTGATTTAGCCACCTACATCTAACTTGGAGGTCTGCTAAAGACGAATGCCCAAAAGGAAAGGTCAAATATCATACGTGAACTCGAAAGAAATTGGATCCTCAGGGCAGCCATCAAAGCATACACATTTTGAAAACTAATCATACAAAACGGAAACACGATCGCTCCTGCCACATTAAGATTGGTTCAACGTTTTGTTCTTGATTCTAATCTTAATCCTGGGGCCAGATGATGTCATTGGGCGGACAGCTGAAGTCCCTTCTGATGGCTCCACTCTGACGCTTTCCACAATATTCGTTGCTTTCACTTCCCGTGGGAGCTCACTCGACTTCACCCCTAATTCTGGTTCTTCCCTCTTCTGTTGCGGCTGTTCACCCATCATCATCAACTTTGCCAGCTCTTTCTCTTTTCTCTTCTTCTCCTTCTTCAACCGCTTCTTCTCCTGGTATTCTGGATCATCCCTTTTCTTGCCTTTCTCTTCCCCATCTCCCCGCTTCCTTTTCTTCTCCTTCTTGTCCTTCTTCTTCTCTTTTGCTTCGCTGCCTTCGACCTTCCCAGCTGACAGTACTGTCTGCAAACTAGCAAACCTCTGAGCCTCAGGATCGACATTATTGTTATTGTCCTCCTGAACCGAGCTAGGTGACCACGACGACGGGTCAGGGTGCACCGACACTTTGCTCGAATCAGCAGTGCATTGCAGCTCCTTCCCAACTTCGCTCACATGTCTCGCGCTGCCAATGCTAGTGGCGGTCATTCTTGACCCAGCAGGGTCATGACTCGAGTTTACTTCCTCGAGGTTCTGGCGGTTGCTATTAAAGCTTGTTGCAGCCTCCTCAACAGCTGAATTTCTCGGAGGCGGAGCATCGACCGAGATGGAGCTGGTCGGTCCACAATCAGCTTCATGCTGCTGCCTCTCTATAGTCAGATTATCAGCTGTGTCGGCTCGGCTCGAGGCAGCTGATCTTCTCAGTCTGATCTTGACAACCGACTTCTTTGGCTCGTGATGATTGTTTGAGAGAGTGTCGACTTCCCTTGAAACTTCTTCTGGAACACCACCTATTTCCAACTCAGGATGAATCTCTTTTTGATTGTTGGAAACTGCTACCTCTGCTTCCTTGGGATGCTGATCTGCTACAACTGGCGGAACAGTCGGGTCCATTAGTTGATGTTCATCATTGTTCAAAACTACTGCATTTGCAACTCTGGAGTCTTCAAACATTGCAGTTTCGGTATCATGCTGTTGTAAGATCTCTACTTCAGGAGGCTTTGTTTCCTTATTATCAGTGATCAGAGCTGCAAATATATTCTTCTGTTCACTGCAAGTTTCAGCATCACCAACAACACACAATGTTTTGTCTCTGGGAACTCCATACAAAGTAGGATTCCTGGAACAAAGCAAAAAAAAAAAAAAAAAACACGGTTCATTCTCCGACTCAATCAGATCCAAAGAAGAGGAAGCCCAGAGCACACAGAACAATCAGGAGACATCATTTATGCCTCCTAACCCAAGTTCCCTTATGTCAGGAAGGGCCCTGGATGACTAACATCTGGTCATTTTTTAGATCTTGTTACAAATTAATGATAAAAACAATTAATTGAAGCTCACCTTCCTGCAAGGACATGTAAAATGCTGAACAAGTGATGTCGAACATATATATTGTTGAATGCAATGGGACCTTCGAGCACTTGAAGCAGAGCGACCAGTGTTGCACTACTCATTTCATTGTCAGAATTAGATCCATCTCGTATCTGGCATAACCTTAGAGCATGTGCACCAAGTTTCGTCTGGCCTGTGAAAAAACATAGGAAGTTAAGTACATGCATTGCATGTCTACAAATTAACAGTGCAACGAAGCAAAATTTTCCAATAGACCAAGTATCATACCTCTTAAGGATGGTTCTTCCTCTAAATATCTTATAAATAATGATAACGCCGAATCTATGCCTCTGCAGTGGAATTCTAAATCAAGCAGACATCTACTTGCTTCAGTTCTTACTTGGCATATGCCTCCAAAATCGCGAAACGGTCTAATAAGATCAAGGACAAGATCCTGCAGCACAATAACAGAGATGTGACGATATTTAAGAAAGAAATAACCCACTCAGGTGGCAACTTGATCATGAATGAGTAGACTTACGAGATGAACAGATACCGAGAGCTTCATTGCAATTTGTGATAGGGTTCGAATGCAGCTCACTGTCAATATCCCATTGTAGCTCGGCATTACCCTAATATAGAGTAATTTGCAGACACAGACCAAATAAATTAAACAATACCGTTGCTAAAGATCATCAATTATCTTATTGTTGTAGACTCAAGTAAGCACCTGTCAGATTGCAACAGCAGGTCGATGCGCTTGAGTAGAGATGACAAACAGCTCATACTCTGTCAATGGATAGAAGAGCAACAATAAGCACTCATGACAACAACATACAGAGTCTAGGTGGACAAAACTGGCAGGACACATCTAGAAGAGTTTTTTCCAGAGGGATTAATATTTAATACTAAGGATGACAAATTAAATAAACCAAATAAAAAATAATAAATCAATGCAAAACGAAGGCAGGAGTGGCAACACAACAACGGTGGATTACGTAATACCCAAGAACAAGACAATTATGTGTTTCCAAAGAGAGCATAATTTGGATGTCATTTCCTAAATGTAGGCACATGTAAAAGCTAAAACATTTAATTGCGCAAAAAGTAACAGTATGATGCTGCAAGTATTAACTAGATGAAGTATGCCAGAAACAGGTGGGGTGGGGTGGGGGGGGGGGGGGGGGGGGGGGGGATTTCACAAACCGGTTTCCCAAATTCCAGTTCACCAACTGACTGAACCAGTGCAGCACGCCAGAAAACATCTGAATAAGGATTTCCATCATTATCATTGTACTGCATAACAACAATTGTACCAAGTCAAGAAAAAAACAAAGATCAAGACATCACTAGAAAGAAAACAAGTCATGATAAACAGGATGCTCAAGGTGCCTATATATTGCATATGTAAAGCAAATACATCGCTTAGCGACTGTCTACCCATAGATAGAACCAACCTATACTTAACTATCTGAAAAAGGTGACTTAAGCCTTTGATTTGGTTTACTTGCCACTCTTATGTTTCCACAATCAGAAGAAACAAAAAAACACCCATCATCAACAACTAATCTATTTGATACTATCATTCAGAAGTTAGCAGTAAGAAACTTTCAGGAACCAAATGCTACAAGGAATTATGATACATAAAAGAAACAACAAAGAAGAAACCAGGCAGAGAATTCGAGGAGATGATGCTATATCATCATTTGCCATTGAGTAAGAGTGTTACCTTTAGAAGCTGCAACACAAACTCAACAGCTTCTCTCGGACTCTTCCTGTCTACAGCTCTCACCATCGAAACAGCATGAGGAATAGCCTAGGGTGTAGATAATGATACAAAAAACATGTAAACTTCTTGATGGGATTATCTCTTTATTCTACAAGAACAAACAAGATGCAAGATGCAAGATCCAAGATCACTTTCCATGAACTTATAATATGTAATTTGAAAATAAACTGGCACCAGCTAGCTACAATTACATAAGTAGAGCATTCCTGAAAGTACAATGGAACATGATATGAGAAACTGTTCTATTGCATCTTGATAACCGATCAGGTAAAGTTAAACAGACAAGACAACTAAGACAAACAACGATCCAGAAATCCAACAGAAAAACATGACCAAAAACCATTCACGGTGTTGGGTAACAGTAAATTGAACTCATGATTAAAACAATCCGAAAAATTATGTAAATTATGCTGCAATTGTAATCAAGTCATATGGGTTATAAAAAAATTTATCAGTAATATGTCTCCGTATTAATTGCAAATTGCTTCAAGAACAGAAATCACTTTTACACACAACTCTACGTAATCTTGAGAACAAAAACCCAGAGAAAGATCTATGCACCCTCCAACTTCTAGTCATGTTAGGAGCATTACAAACAAAAGCAAGCCAAAATTTATGCCAGCTGAGATAACTGGGGAGAACATAACAATAGTAGATGCTGATAGTTGTTACAAGGCTAAGTTGTACACTATAATCTCCTGAATAATATATCCATTAAGGATTCAGTAAACCTAGATGTCATGTTTCCCCTTTGACTAAGAGCCAGCAACGTGGTTGGCCAGGACTAAATCTAGATGTTTCTCCTTACACCGAGAACAAGAAAGATAAATGGTTGAAGCAACAGTTTAACACAAAACTATTCAACCAGTCTAGGTCATGTAAGCTGTACACAAAAAGGTAAAGACAATTCCTGGCACAAATGCACCACAAAACAGAACAACTTTAACCCATTTGAGAAAACACTTGAGAAAAAATCAGAATAAACATGTCCACAAGAGAAACCACCATGATGAGGTCACAGAAAGTTTACAGTGCAAAGGAACTTACTACATGGCCTACCTCATCGCATTACCTCGAGAACTAAGTATTCGGGAAAATCGTGGAAGTCATTCGGCCTGGCAGATCAGTAAAAGAAAACATAAGTACACATTTAACCAGTGGACTCCAGACACAGATAGATAGCAGATGACAGGAATCTCACTTGGGAAGTCCAATGGTTGAGTCAAACCTCCTGCTTTTATAGAATTTTACCAGATGTTGTAAACCAGCCAAATCAGATTCCTGTCAAACGAAGGCAAGAAATGGCCATCTTAGAAGACTAACAATAATGTGAATGGGGAGTCAAACCAACCATGGAAAGCTCTGTTTGCTAATGATGAGTATAAATACCTCACAGACACTATTTGCTAATGCAAATGCTGCCTCAATGCGCACTCTCCAGAAGACCTTTAACATATACAACTAATTAGGGGGGAAAATGCAGTCAACCAGCCATGGAAAAAGCACAACCTCAAGAAATTTGAGGCTACCTTGGAATCACTGAGGACATTGCTCAGGGCATTTACAACTGAGAACGGAAGCTGGGGCAAAGATGACAGTGCCACAATTGCTTGTGACTGAGCAACAACATCTTCATCCTTCTCCAATTGGTTGATCTGGGGAACAAGGCAGAAACAAAACAACTTACTGACAGACCAAACAAAGCCACTGCCAAGTAACACAGTAGACCAAGCAAATGACATCCTGACTACTTACGAAACATACAAAAATAACTTTTAGTGCAAGGGATAAAGGAAACGCACAATCCTCTTTTAAAAAAAAAGTGGAAAGCACGAATGAACCACATTAAATGGCATATAATTTTGCATAAATGCTCTCTAATCTTTGAAGAAAGGCTAGAAAGTCGTACCCACATCTGCACTGGTTGATTAAGGTGAATTTCAGCAAGATATTCCATCTCTGGATCTGCCCTGATCCAAGACAATGGGGACTCCGAACTGCACCTCAACAATTATAGTAGTGCTTATGCATCCAGTCCCCACAAGAAATTCTAGTAAACAGAGATACCACAGACCATACCTAGCACGGTCCACAGCAGGAACGTCGCCATTTTCATCAGAGCCCTCAGGTTTTGAACCTTTTTTGGGTTTCTGGAAGCGCCTTCCAGAACCCCTTGAATGGCATTGTATTTCCAACAACTGCCAGGTGTCACCAGACAAAGGAAGAACAGGATGATCATACATACCGTCAAACTCATGTATCCTTATACTCATCATTCCAGGCCAACCAAGATCACCGTCCCGATTTTCACCATCAGCATTAAGAACTGATGCACTTGCTTCAGGCGCGACTGTACACTCCCGCAGTACCGCCAGTTCAACAAGATTTTTTCTTTTGTTATACGAGAATCCCATTCTAAAAGACAAGGAGCAGGTTAAAAAACAAATTCAGTTGGCAATATACAATCAGAGAATGAACCATGAAGAGATAACTGTCATACCTCAGCACTGGGCACCCACAGGAACCAACCCAACGGGCAAAATATTCTTTCACAAATGGCCGCTCTAGGTTTCCAACCTTGGTCGCAAACTGTCGAAACTGCAAGTCCCACTCAAGAGGTAAGACCTACTTATGACTACCTCATACACATATATCAAACATCACAAGACATGCACTAGACTATAATTTACATTGTCTCCACATGTAAGCATGACTAATGATGTACTTGTTTGCCAAACCAAAAAAAAAATCCCTACTGGTTTGCCAAACCAAGAAAAAAAAAATCATGTACTGGTTGGAACTTTCGAACTTCAAGCTTGAATTTCTGCTTTCACAATTTTTCTTTTACCTCATCAAATTATGTACTAGTTTGCCTAACAAAATTATCCTTTGCTGAATGGGACTTTTAGAACAAGAAAATGTAGTATGCTGTGTCCAAAAAGTGAAAGAAAAAACATGATAAACCCACATGTCCAATGTCCATAGTGCAATTCTAGGACCTCCCATCATCATTTTGCTGCCACTTAATAGCAAGCCAAATTTGTGATTACGTCCAAATTGTTCAGAGAATAACAGCAAGCTATTGACAATAGCATTGCCCAAATTAAACTCAGACGTCCACGCTCCTTAAGGAACCGTGCTACCTATAAATGGATTATTATTTACTCTACATTACAGGAAGGCGACTTATGTCTCTTCATTATGATATAATAATAGGTAAACAGGTCAAGTATTTGCTTATACAATTTTTTATTTGTGTTCGTTGCTGAAAATATGCAGGGAAGCCAGATAGTTGCCAGTTCTGGTTGCCAAGAAAATAGAACAGGATGCAAATGATCCTGACAGCCAAAAGTAGGCATGAGAGAGGATGGAAGGATGATATAATTGCACAAGTATAAAAAAGAAAGCATTACCTCCTTCGTACTGAGAGATCTAATAGGAACACCATCTCCGGCCCGAGAAACAACTTTTTGCAAAATCTAAAATTTTGAAAGGGGAAAAAGGAATGATCAACGATGAAAATCAATATCAACAATGTTGCAAAACTTCATGAACAAGGGGAAACCAGATCAAACCATGAATCTCCATACTCAAGTGATCCAAACAATTTAATAACCAGCAGGGCCCAGGGTAATACAAGTCAATAATAATCAATTATTAACTTGTTAGAAGGGAGAAAGTGAAAGAGAATGCAGAACATGGAAATCAATATTGCCAATGTAATAAAAGTTCAGAAACAGGCCTAACCAGAACCCAAAAAAACCTAAACATGCGTCTCCATACTCAAGTAATTAGAACAACTTGATACCAAGCAGGACCAGTAAATAGAAGACCATCATAATTAAGTTCAAATCTAAGCCACTGAAACTTACTCTGCGGAATGACTCGGGCCCCATTTGCTTCTCCAGCATTTGCAGAATGGTGACCTTTTCATAAACAATAAAATCAATCATACAACACAAGATCCAGCTATTTGCTAGCACTATAATTTTACTAAGGAAAAGAAGTAGAAGAGTACTTACTGATTTCCAAGATCGTAATTTTCCATATATACCAATGCCATGGGTCCCATAAAGATCCTTGCAAGAAGTGGAGGAGCTCAAAGTTATCACGGGATCTTCCGCTTTACAAACAGCACAATTAGCCTGCAGGTTCAGAAGGAAAACCACACAAAATTAATTATTAATTGAAATAGAGGAACAACCTTAACCAGTGATGCAATCTAATCAATAATCATTAACATAGCACGATTAACTATAGTGTAGGATCAGATGGATGGTAGTGGTGGCGAAAAAGATAAAAAGGGCAAGCCCAGGGGCGGAACCAGGATTTTAGTGTGTGTTGTGTGTACGGTGGTGGTGGGCTGGTGGTGGTGGAGGAACAACCTTAACCGGTATGCAATCTAATCAATAATCATTAACATAGCACGATTAACTATAGTTAGGATCAGATGGATGGAAATGGTGGCGAAAAAAGCTAAAAGGGGCAAGCCCAGGGGCGGAATCAGGATTTGAGTGTGTTGTGTGTATGGTGCTAGGTGTGTGTGTGTGGAAGCCACAGACCCTACAGATTTAGAACCCTCATGGATTCTGTAGTCCAAGGAGTTGGCATCACCAAACAAGGGTTCACGGATTTGGTGTTCAGATCCATCACCCAAAACCAACATCCAAATATAATTTGCCTATCAATAAAAGTTTCCCCGACTCCTTCACCTCCACTGTCAAACTAGTAAAGCAGTTTTAAACCCAGCCGAGAAGGCATGCTCACACCAACCAGCCACCAACATAAATTGCATTACAACATTACAGCTATAGAGAAAGTTAACGGCAAAAGGTTGAGAACCAGTTTTCTCCAAACATGACATTGGGATAGACATCACAAAGAGATTATTATTACATTAACAAAAAGCACAAAAAATGGGTTCTCCAAAACAGTATGATCATTTACCTTGTACCGCCTGTAACGCGCCTCATTATTACCCAAAAATTTCTTGATGAACAGATCCGTCAAGAAACCAGCAAGCCCATCCAGCAACCACTCTGCAACAATCATAAAGCCATAAAACTTTGCCGATCACTCAGATACAGCAAAATTCAATTGTTAATAACACATATCAGCTTACCATCAGTTGGTTCTTCTGGAGCAATATATATCCCAAACCACTGCCGAGCAAGTGCAAAAGATAGTTTGATGCATGTGTCTAATGTCTGCACGAGAAAATGGCACTTAATCAGCATGATAGAGGAAAATCAAGCAATTACTTAAATTGATGCAACAAGAAATGATTATGCACATTACACGCTACATAGGGAGATATTCCCTTACATATCATTTCTTTTTTTTTTTTTTTTTTTTTTTGAGGAACCAGGTTTCGACCTTACATATCATTTCATGGACCACATCGTGATTAATTCTTATTTCTTACACCACTTAAAATAAGAAATGCACAACATAATGTTCAAAATATATGATAAAAATTCAAAACCTCCAGCAAAACAAGACATGAGGTTTAGACTAAGTAATGTATATATAATCAGCTTAAGAAGTTCCAAATCACACAGAAATAAAAATAAATACTCTTCATAAGAGATGGTCAAAGTTGTGGGGGAAAAAATGGCAACTGTTCACAACGGGACTTGCCATTGTTTGGAGAAGAATGACCTTTCATACGTCAGTTACACAACCAAAGTCTTTCCAAACCAGAGCCAAATATCCTGCTTTTCATTACTCATGAATCTTAAAATCTCTCAATTTTAAGGATTTTATATGTCCATAGATCATTTTGTAATCAAGAACGAAACTCATAAGTAAACTTGTAATGTTGTCAGACTTTTAAGAGTAAGATTACTATTATAGCTACCCTGTTCATGAAATTTGAGCCTCAGATTAAATGGCAAACCTGATTGATAACTTTTTCGTCGTACAACAGTTGTGAACTGAAGACACACATTGCAGCTCCCAAGCTTGATGAGGTTACCACCATCTCAGGAGCTAAAAAAATCTGGGTATAGGATCCAAAGGGGAAGTTTGCATCCAGGTAGTCTTCATAATATCTGTTGAAAATGACCAATGCATTCCATGACATGTTAGAATTGGAAATTTTGGTTGTAAGAAAATTCTGAGGGCTAATAAAAGATGACGAACTTGAATGCATTGTGAAAAAATTGAATGCTGTTGCGTAGTTGAGAAGAAGAAGATGGCAAGCACAAGTGTGACACAAGACCAAGTTGAGGGTCAGGAAATATCTCAAACGGTGCAACCACCAGTGAAATCCAATGAGCCATTACAGGAACCTCCAATCTGTACACATACGTTTTACGAGGAGGGCTATCTTCGCTTAGAACCTGAAACAGAAGATAAGTAGTAAGATTCTTACACTACACAAAATAGTCCAGTTTGGGTTTTCTGAGGTCAGCTGACTTAAATGTATCCCAGCATGTATAGCTGATACAAATTCCAGTTGTCAATTAATAGCTAGTATTGTGCAATGGCTCATACTCAGACAATACATGCGACTCAGAAGTGGTTCTTTCAAGCAAAGGACATGTTAATTAGAATTAGGGGTATCTTTTGTATCTTCATGCGTTAGTACTTCTCATCTACTGTAATTAAGGTCTTTTAGTCAGTTTGATGCAGTTCTTGTCACTGAAGCCTAGGGTCGATTAATTTTCCTTATAAATGTGGTTTGACCGAACGCCTAAAACAGCCGGCTGCAACAGTCGCCATAAAATAAAAGTGGATAGCTCCATGAGTATAAGCATACTACCAAAAAAACATAAACAAAAGTGTTCATTTCCAGTCACGTGTGTTTAAGAGAAACAGATTATCCTAGTACTCCTCATCTACTATAGTTAAGGCCTTCTAGTCAGTTTGACATAGTTATTGTCACGGGATCCTAGGGTCGACAAATTTTCCTTATACATGTGGTTTGACCCAATGCCTAAAATAGCCGGCTGCACTGTCATGGCGTCACCACAAAACAAATAGTGGATAGCTCCATGAATATTAGCATACTACCAAAAAAACAAAACAAAGAAGTAGTGTTCTTTTCCAGTCAGGTGTGGCAGGCAACAAAGCCGATTATTCGTCCTCACTTCCTCAAAAGTGCTAAAAGTTTAAAAGAAACAGGTTATCCTAATCATTCTGAAGTAAGACAAGATGTAAAAATAAGAACTCAAGGAAGTTCCTATCTGACTAAGGTAGAATACATGTTAACAATACCACGAGAAGTTACTCAATCCAGTAGTACCGAATACAGATGTAATTCTAAACAGCTCCAAGAGAAAAGACTATCACAAGAAAGCTGACTTGCAATCTTTTATTCTTGATATCAATCACAAAGGATCTTAAATGCATAGATTTTATGTTTATATCTTTCTCAGACGCATGTAAGCCAGTACGTGATGATTAGCTAACTTCTGCCACTTAAACTTGCAAGCTATATTTTGCCAAAGCCCAATAAATCTGGGATCTTATACTCACCTGTAACAAACTAGCCAAAATAGCAGATCTGCACTTCAATCCTTCCTAGATAACTAACTACATAAGATCTTTTCACTTTGAGTTGGATTCTTTGACGAAATAAAAGAGGATCAGCAAACATGTTGAAAGCCTCCAAACTAATAAGCACTTGTCGAATCAATCCAAGGTCACTGAAGAATAAACTAATTACCAGATTTGACTATGTAATCCTACCGAAGAAATTATATTCAGCAGCACTGACAGGTTCGTGCAGTTTTTTAAGATTCATCTCACTAATCTCACCGTGTATAGTAAGCTTCCCACACTAACCGCTACAAGATTTTGAGCAACTGTGAACTCCAGATCATAACTGCAAACAGAAAGGCATAGTTACCAGCTGAATCGACTGGCTGTGAACTTCTCATTTATAAAGTAAAAAAGAAGCGCAATATCCAGGTAGTACCAGCATCTCTGAAAGCCTTCATCCATACAAGGGAACCAGCACCTGCCACGCTTTATCTGGTTATCAGTGTGCAGCACACCATCTTCAAAATGAATACCTGTCTCCATTTTCTCTACCCAGTAGTTGATACGGACCAATTTCACATTCTGCATCCAACATCAACCTACATGAGAACCAAAAAGATGTGAACCCCCTTATGACAACACAAGCACATATCAAAGTATAGCACTAGCACAGCACTAAATCAGAGAAAAGTTAATAACAAAGATCAGACAACCAAATAAGATGATACATTCATATCGACTCACAAAAAAGGGATTTTTGCAGTAGCACTACATGGTAGGCGACTCCTATGTTCCCAAGTAAGATGTTTCAATGTCTATGTAGCCATAACACATATCAAATCTATAAGCTCTACTCTGTTATTTTTAAATGAACCAAATCAAAGAAAGGTTTTCGTCCAACAAGTTGTATCACTGACATGGTCAAGATGATGGTAACTTGGAGCATTAGATGAACCAAGTAAATTGTGAGGTGTCTTAAGAAGAACGCAACCAGGATATGTACAAGCAGAGAGAATTAATGAATGGGCTAAATGAAGGAAGAGACATCAGGGAAATCAAGGGCAAACATCAAACGGGAAAGGACATGACAATGGGGTCAATAGAGTGAACAAGTAGATAAAGAGAACTCAGAAGGGCAACTTCAATGGTACAGAGTAACCTGCTGCTTGGCTTCGCCGGAGGACTGCAATCCATTATCGGAATTAAGTTGCTCAGGCTCAACTGCAGCCCTATAAGCTTTGCAACAGTTGATAAGCAGATTAGGAACACGTTCCCTCTCCAAGGCAGACAAATAGGAGGCGCAAGCAGCATCGGCAGCAGAGCTAGGATCCGACACTGAACCCCATCTCTTCTCGTTGTCTACATTTTGCTGGTGCGGATAGTATTCGAACTCAGTAGGCTCCCCGTCCACATAAACACTCTCGAGACCCAAATTCTCGGCATAAAGCCCCACAATGCCTATGTCAGGAACAGCGATTTCCAACTCAGTAAAACTGCAGTTGCCAGAAAGATTCAAGTTAAATCATTGCTGAAAGAAACTAACAAAGCACCAATTAACCGGAGCTCGGAATTGGGCGAAACTACGGGGAGAAAGGGGGGAAAGAACGGGAAACCCTAGCTAGCAGGCAGAGGATAATTTTTTTTGGTGGGAGAAGAAGAGGAAAGCGGACCCGTAGATTTGGCGCTTGTCAAGGTCGATGGAGAGGCAGAGCTTCTGGTGACGAACTACAGCGCCGGAATTCTCGGACTTGGCGCCTTCGTTCCTAGGCTTACGTGGCTTCGCCATTTCTATGTTGTAACCAAAGTAACTCGCATCAACGGATTCGCTCTTTATAGAGCGACGATCAGGGTCTCCGGTTTTTATAGAGCTCTTAAAATAATATTGTACAGAATTGAAAGAAGTTGTGATGTATAAAATAATACTTATTTTCAATATATTTCAGGAAAAAATTGTACCTCTTATATCACTTTATCATTTTGTAACACCATTGTGTTTTTACTCAAAAAAATTTTTAAAAAAAGTGTTCATTTTGATCTATTGAATCTTAAAAAATTGGGGGAAATATTTTAGGACTAAATACAGTGGCGTAGCCAGATTTTGAATGGACCGGGGTCCTTAAAATTTTTGAATTGATTGGGGTTTTTATGTGAGGTAATATCAGCGAAAGTGCGGGGTTCTATCTTTCAAAAATCATGCTAAAACGCATCATCATCACTAAATCATATAAAGCGCTTCCTCTGGGAAAGCTTCCCCGCAAACTTCGGAGGTGGCTTTTCCGTTTTTCTTTTTTCTTAAAAAATATTAAAACTCTTTTGGATAGCGCCTCTTTCTTTTGGAATCGTCGTCTCCGTTCGTCTTTGTTGCCCCCAAATCTGCAGTAACATCCATCCCCTTCAGTATTCTCATGGCACACACCAAAAACATCATCCACAATAGACTTTTGCCAGCGCACCAGGCTTTTGATAGCACACACACCAACCAGCGTTACGACGACACCCCTCCCCAAATCTCTCTTCCTCTCATTCGTCCAGCGAGATTTTCATTCCCAGATATGCAAACATCTTTCGTTCACTACTCTCCCGTTATATCTTTCGATGTTGGAGCCTTTTCATATTACATTGTCTTTCTGACGGGGATTCGACTTCTCTCTGCAAACAGAGGCCGGAACCATCTATTAGCCCCAATTTCACTTGCGATTTTGCTTAGTTGTTTCACTTCTAGCGGAGATTCCGCTACTCCAATCAGACACAATTCTCTTCCATCAATTTATCCAAGTTCAACGTCAATTCTGGGCTGCCAGTCATATTTCATTGGGGATTCGGCTGCTCTTACTACTAAGATGTCGTCACCGCCGCTTCGCCCCTTATTACCCTGTCAATTCCTGCCCGCTAAGCCAAATTCCGCAGATGATTCGCATTTACCAACCACATGAAGGCCTCCTTTCACCGATGAAAAAAAGGCCGCCTTTCAATCCCATATAGATAGTATGTCCTTCTTGCCTTCCTAAATATCTTTACGCAATCCTCTCAACTCTTTTGCATTTCTCATGATTTGTTTTCTTCGTTTATGATGTTGCTCTAATATTGGATTTAAATGTAGCCACCCTTTGTGCAGAGTACCATGTGGGATGCATGCACGAAAATCATAACCACTGTTGTGATCTTTCATTATGGTATTTGAATTCACTTAGATGCTTGCCTATTCCACTTTATATTATGTTTTGTTCGATTGAATATGTTTTCTCAGGTTTCAAATTGGGATTATTGAGTAGTTTCTTTCTTCATTGTACCTCTGCAGCATCCATCATGTTGCCTGCTTAGATTGGGTCGGGAAAATAGAGCCGACTTCAGATTTAACAAACTTTTCTATTCATTGTCGGATCAAGTTGTCCTCATTATCCAACCTGAAATGTTGTACTTTCCTTTGCAGTAGTAGGGTCTTTTCCCCCCTGCTCTTATTTCTTGTCATATCTCTTAAAGTAGTAACTTTTGCTCTCTTTCTTCCTTTCCCCTCATTTTGCTGCTTATTTTTTCTATCTTCTTATGCTCTTTTTTGTCTCCGATTACTGCAACTACACTGGCCAGTGTTCGGCATAAGGTTACAGTTCTTACTCCCTCAGTTTTCAGGTTAGCTTCTATCATATTCAGAAGCTTTTCATCTTGAATGTAGTTCATTCGATGCTTTGAGAGTATCTGAGGTTTAAAGTATACATCTTCTGGCTGTGACAAAGCTTCCAACTGTGTTTCATTATATTGCTACCATGGATTTCAATCTTCATTTCATCCACGTGACACCCTAGGTAACCTAATTACTCTAATACTCATCATAACAATGGTGTATTGATGCTTCATAGCTAAACATGCTACTGCTATCTCTGACACCACCATTTTAGATAAGATCCCAAACTATAAGTCTTGGAGTTTAGGAGAAAGCACAATTTTGATTCAAATGCCAACATAGTGGAACCATGTTCATCCTTGCTTGGCGTTAAGAAATTTACCATGTTCAACCTTATGTCATTTTGCAGGTCTATGTCGATTGAAGGCATATGTACCTCTTGGTAGTATCTATGATTCCCTTATAGGCTTATACGATGCAACTCAAAAACTTCAACATAACCTTTTCCAGCCTCACCTACTACTCATGCAAGCCAATTCTTCGCGGAAACTAGAACAATAGCTTTCAGCTAAGTGTATGTTGTTATAAATAAGTTCTGATGGTGTAACGTAACGAATCATCAGTACCCAAACAATGTGAATAGTATTTGGTTGTTTTATGAATATATATTTGTTTGTTTTATTTTGGTGTAAAATACACTTGCCAGCCACAAACAAAGATTCCTTTGAATGTATTTGAAAGTAAACAAATTATGCAAATAACACAATCACAAACAAATTCCTCTCGCATTTCACTCCCGGCCAAAGGCCGGGCAACAAGCTAGTATATATAAAGGATTTTGACACCCAAATTTTTGCTAAGTGGGGTCCTATGACCCCCTCCTCAAAGCCTCCCTCCGCCATTGACTAAATATACCACACTGTTATATAATGGTAATAGGTGATTAAAGATGATAAATGACTATATATTCCTACTATCATGTATACAACCATTCTACATTATGATATATTCATACCACCATGATACACTTTCATACCACATGGTATAATCTTATGTAATTGAACAAACTTGTGCACGAGGTCTTGTCATACACAAGAAAACTATTAAGCCCGTACATCATGAATAGCATGCTTGGTAATGAACTCTATTAGTCTCTTTTCTTGCTCACCTAGTGGTGTCCCTAGACGTGACGTCTTGTCTAGTCTAAGAATCATCGAGTACCTTTGCACATACATGCATGAGGTCTCGTCAAACATGCATGAGCATTTATACGAGTCACATTTATGAGTGTGGTCTTGTCAAACATATATGTAATCAAGCAAGACTAATAAGTCACAAGTATCACCTTAACATCAATATTTATTAGCTAAACTAAAGCATGGATACACATAGGCTCCACTCCCTAAACAACGAGGGGTGTTTAGCTCGACTGAGAGGGAATACAAAATCATTACGATTCTATAATCTTGCAAAAACTATACTAAAATAGGCTTTGGACGTGATTCAGGTCATAGTTACCCCACATGTGAGAGAATACTTTGATCTATTCAATTCCATATGCATTTATAATAGAACGTAACCCAGCCCCCTATTTTTCCTAACTCCCCATACTTGAATATTCGATCAGGTGTGGTTGATGTTGCACAAGGGGTTTTTTCCTCCTCTAACTCAAACTAGGGCTCTATTACTTGGCATCCACGGCAAGAGGAAACTCTTGTAGGGGCGGTGAGGTCCGTAAAGAGCTAAACCATGTGTTCCTCTCGTTGTTTGCTTGGGTTGAAATTTGATCCATGTGCTCATTTTGGACTTCTTGTGCAATATTGGGCTCTCATGGTCACCGCTTGCCTAACCGGTTGCTAGGGTTGATGAAAACTTGAATAGTATAGAGTTATCTTCAATTCTGCATTTATTAGTGGTTAAAGTGTTGGCTATTTTACCCACAAAGATACAAGTCCAGTGCAAGATCATCTTTTTTAGTGTGAGCATACAGGAATATGATTAATATGAACTATTTGTTGTGTTTCCTTCATTATCTTGATGTTGGATTGATTATAAAGATTCTACAATCTTCTAAGAGAATTCATATGGTTGTTGTTGCTAAAAGCTATTTGGCTTAAAGGTTGAAATTTTGCAGGGGAGTTCTGGTGGCCATAGGACAAGAATCCTTACATTGATTACTCTTAAAGAGTAGTCATATTCAGTTTGTGCAAACCGATAATAAAGGATGGTTATTATAATCTAATATCTTAATGGTTGGAGCATCTCACTCATATGCATCGAGAATTTTGGTAGCAGCTTGACATGATGAGAAACTTCATTTGCTAGCAAAACAAGAGTTACTGTAAGGGCTTCTTAATTGCGAGCTGACTGATTGAATGCATAGCTATCCAGATGATATCCTATATATTATATTATAATAATAGTGCTAACTTTTACTGTTATGTTTTAGGAAATGTGTTTTTTGCAACAGTTGCAACATGAATGACTTCGATATACTGATTGCTTCTTTTTCTTCTCGTTGAATATCATTGTGCTTCGTATCATCGGTGGACAAAATTGTGGTTCCTTATCTACGATTTTGGCCTTATTTTTATCAGTGACAATTATATATTTACTATACGCACCATTGTATTGTTGGTGCTAACTTGGGTTGTTGTTTGAGCCAATCGTTTTTAAAACCATAGGAGTCGATTCTTTTATTAACCCAATATCATAGGATTCAAAAGGATGATAGGATTATTGATAGACCATTGATTACACATGTTTTTACCCCTATTCTTGAGCCGTTTGAGATGTTGATTCTCATGTTTTAGATCTTGAGTTCATATTCAATCTATGCATGTTTTCATGATTCAATTCTAGTTTAGTCGAGATTATTGATTCTGTTTTGATCCTATGAGAGCGAATACCTGATTAGGTCAATAGAGCACCATAGATTGATAGTATTGGATCGATTGCTTTAGTCGAGGGTCGATTCACTGCTTTGCATCGATTGAGAACCTCATTCGATAGAGGGAGTCTAGTTTAGAACGCTTCGATCGGTTGTTCTAGAGAAGGATACGTCCCTCTAGGCAATCGACTCAAGAGGGCCTTGATCTTTTAGTCGAGATTCAAGGTCTAGTCAAGGATTCTCCGCATTGTGAATGAAAGTGAAACAAGTTAGAAATCACCAATCATTAATCTGGCTAGTGGCTAGGGGGAATCATACCTAAGTGAGTTCCCAACGTGTAATTAGATTAACTTTAACTATAGTTTGTTAGAGTAATTTTTGTTCTTCCATCTTAATCTGGTTTGCTAGATAATGAACTGAAGCTGAGTAATAGTAACTCTAGAGACCCGTGGATTCGATATTTATTACTTGAGCCACTATACTGCAGTCCCTTTCATTGGTTACACTTTGCCATTGTTAGGAGTTGTGTCATAGCGAGTCAAGTTTTTGGCGCCGTTGCCGGGGACTTTCTAGATTATTAGGAAAAGCAGAAGTTTGTTATTTTAGCATTTTTCTTTTCTTTTCCACCCTTGCTTTTTCACTTGGGTGTTTTTGTTTTTGTTGGTGCAGATATGAATCATGGATCCTCATGGCTTCTCCAACCATTGGGGGTATCCACCACCATCCGAGGGTTATTACCCCAAGACTCCCTGGAGCAATCAAGGAGGAGAAGACTCTGGATTTGGGTTCCAGTACCAACCCCCTTACTACGGAGAACAATCAGACCCCTGGGCATATCAAGAAAAACCTCCTTATCAAGAAGAATTTCTCCCACAACCAGAAGGGCCATCGGAGCTGGAGTTAGCCATGGCGCCCTTCACGGGCCATTCTGCAGAGCCATGCTACACTCCACAGCCAGATCCAAACTATGAATTGAGGCTTCTCATGGAGTAGTTTGCTCGCGATAGTGAGAGATCATGCTCCAGGATGGATCTTTGTACTCGGGCCTATCGTGAAACAGAGGAGATCCTCCTAAGCATTAATAGGAGCCTCGATGATCTTGAGCAATCTTATGCACAGCCTGATCAAGATCACCCTTCGGCTACTATACTAGAAGAGGAGGAGGAAGACGAAGGCTACGAAAACATTGTGGAGCACACAGAAGTTGTCACGGAGAGCTCCCATGATGATCATGATCAGGAATGTCCTGTCGTAGCCGACCACACCTTCCCACATCCCACACTGAGCTTTGAAGAGGCGGGCATGAGTGAGGAGATGCAAGAAGATCTCATCAAAGAAATTGCTTGGCGACTTGCCCTCCAATCCGTGCTGGAAGAAGAAGAGCAAGAAAGGGTGCAGAAAGAAGTTGTGGAGGATGACGAAAGTGAAGCAGAATGAGTTTTTGATCATTTCCTAGGGGTGATACCACATGAAGAAGGAAGGGAGGTTGAATAAGCAATTGTCGTCCAAGCTGAGGAGGGAGTTGAGGTGGAAGAGGCATGCACCTGCCATGAGTTACATGTGATATCTCCACCAAACTTCGAGGAATTGCTTAGCAAGGACCCATTTGCCGTGTCTCTTTGCCAAACCAAGGCCACATCGACATCGGTCCCTCTTAGTGGACGCGATTGTGGTCAATCGATGTTGTCATATCTGGTTTGGGGCAATGAGACGAGAGAAGAGAAGAAGAGGTCTCGAGAGTGGAGACTTCATCTGCATCAAGTGCATGAGCTTCCATCACTTGTCATACCACATGCTCGTGACTTGAGACTCCACCTCATTGACGAGAACCTCAACTTCAAAGAGGTTCTGGGGTAGACCGAAACTTAGAAGCCATCGTCCGGCTCACGATGTAAAAGAAGCGCTTGTTGGGAGGCAACCCAACCAGTCGGTTTGCATTTCTTTCTCTTTTTCTCCTCGGTTGAGTCAGTTTTGTTCTTTGATTTTAGAGTCAATAACTCAACCTTTGTGAGATTTTGTGTGGTGTTTGTGTTCCGACCACTCTCTCCTCCCAGAATGCACTGCCTACCCCGTCCACCATCATTCACCCTTGATCTGGTAACTTCGTTCTACCCTCCTTATTTTTCCTCCATTGCGGACAATTTCGTGCTTAAGTGTGGGGGGATGTTCGATTGTGCATGCGTGTGAATGTTTGACTGTTTGTGTGCTTGGAGCCTAGTCCACTATCGAAATTTCGATTTGAGGGCTCCAAGTACGTGTTTCCTTGCAAATTGCCTGCTCAGTATGCTTTGAATTGACAGTCTCTATAGTAATGTGCAACCTAGGGAGGTAATGTAGCACTATGGAGGATGTTGAAGTATAAGATTTTTCCTATCTAGCTCTCTGTTGTGCCAGTTGATTTTGTGAATTAGTGGAGCTAAGACTGTTGACTTCGTTGGAATTGTGTTGTGGACTCGTGGGTGCTCATGTGGGAAATGAAAAGCAGTTGGTCCTCCATGTCAAAATCATTGAAATCTTAAACATGGGGTAACCCCAACGTGTGTGGCACCGTTCATTGCACAAAAATCGGGTTTCGGAAGAGATTTTAGTGATTCTTAGTGGGGTACTCCTACAAGGTGAAGCTAAGCTGTCTCTAGTACGAGTAAAATTTTCACCCGTTGAATGGTTCGCCTACTTGAGGATGTGTTTTTAAGGGCACGGATAGAACTTCCGACCCTCCTTAATTTCATTGACCCTCCACGCGAGTTGAGGAAAAGGAGTTAAAAGAAGTACTCTGGCGAGCGCCACATGTACAGAAATTGTTCTTGCTCGACTAATAAGGGTCGACCGTGCAAAAGACTGCAGTTGGACCCCCCGCTAAGTGAATGAAAAAAGTGTAAATGAAAGTGCAAAAAAGGGGTTCCAACGGTGAAATGAAGTGAAAGAGCACCCCCGATACAATGAGTCCTTGGTCGTGAATGCTGTGAGTCCCTTTATCCATGAACTGGCTGTCTTATTTCCACTTCTTCTCATGATCCTGACTTGAGTCTAGTACTCGTATTGAGAGAGATAGGGGACATCTTAGAAGACCAGATGACGTCGTAAGCTGCTATATGATCTAGGAAATCCTCTACCGACGATCGGGGTTGTTTGTTGCTATAAAGGTCTGGAGTTGCATTGGTTTGAGTTAGGTTTTCTTGGGGACAAGCAAACGGTTAAGTGTGGGGGAATTTGATAGACCATTGATTGCACATGTTTTTACCCCTATTCTTGAGCCGTTTGAGATGTTGATTCTCGTGTTTTAAGCTGATTTCACGCTAGGTTGTGTGTTTATGTCATATTTCAGGGCTTGGCATTGGCATCAAGGCGAAGAAACGAGTTTCGGGTCAAAAAGAGCACGTTTGAGTTGAAGTGTGCTGGATGAGCAAAATACCCGGCCATGAGCAAAAATACACGGTCGGGTATTAATCTGAGCAGACCGGGGAAAATCACTTTTGGGCGTTTGAGAAGCAGAAGGGGGCTCGGGCATTGAGCATAAATTCTCGGTCGGGTATTCTTGACCTTGACTGTGGATTAATCCCCTGTCCAAAGCGGTGCGTTTCAACGATCCCCGGTCGCCACCTAAAATACCCGACCGGGGATTCTGACCGGGGATCGCGAACGCAGGCTGTTAAAAGCCTGTTTTGTGCATTTTTGCAAGAGAGAGCTGGGTTTTGGATCCCAAACACCCAAGGGACGAAGTGGTAGTTGATAGTTTGAAGTGTGGAGGTGTAGCCCGAGTGGTAGTTGTTGCTATAACATCCTTGGTGATTCTGTGAGTACCCTTACCCTAATACCCTATAAATCGGGCCCCTTGTGCTAGATCACTGAAAATTGGGCCTCCCAGATGTTTCAACCCCATAAAGTTAGCGCAACGCGACAGGGCTTCAATGAAGTTCAACCCAACACAAACCCTGTTCGGTGTCAAGGCCACCAAACTGACACCAACTAGGCACCAGGACGAAGATGGTGAGTCACCAACGTGGGTAGAGCAGTCACCTAGCAGGTGGCTACCAAGGAGGTTACACCTTATGTATAACTAAGATAAGAAAGATGGAAGAAGGGTTCCCAAACCAACATTTGAAACCATATGTCAAGTTCATCGTTTTCACCACAAAGAAGTCATAAGAGTAGTTTTGGAGCTCTCATTGAACCATCTCTATATGTATAAGTGTAATTTAACTTAGTTATTTCCAAAAAGAAATAAAAATATCAAATGCATTCATCCAAACAAAGTAAAAAAATGTGCGAACCATATAATTTGTGTTGTTTAAGAATTCAAAGAATGCAATTCATCCAGTTTGAACAGATGTTTTTTGCCAAAAACAAATTGACACACTTAATAAGACACTGTGTGTTTGACTTGATGTCTTCAAGATGAAGGAATCAAGAAGGTGATGCATCTCTAGGTTCACAGATGAGCTAGTGACAAACATTACACATGGTCAGAAAATGAAGACAGTTATAAGAAGCAACAGTGATTGGACACCCCATGCCAATGACGCCAAGTGTGGAAGCAAAGACCATCATTACATTTAATTCCACAAGTGATATAGAGTAATAAAAACGATGCACTCAAAATCCTCCCTAACAATGGCAAGTATATCACCACTAGGCTTGCACTATAGTGGCTCGGTTATATTCCCTAGGGATCGCCGATACCCTAGCCTACTCCCGTTAAGTTTGACTACTATCTAATCAACAATGGTTTGTTTGTTGTCCTAAGGAATTTCTAATACTAGAGAACAAGATGAGAGAAGCGATACTCGAGGCTAGCTACCCTCACCTTAACTACAAACAAATATGAAAATGACAGATAATGGTGTTATGGCAACTGTGGTTCGGAGGTCACTAAATTAGGGGTTAGTGCAATGGTCATGTCTCTCGACCCTCTCCTAGCCACATCCACCAATCTAGTCTCGCCACAATCCTCTTCCATGACTAGGTGTGACGACTTACTGCCTCTAAATTGGTCTACCAGTCCGCACACAAGTTCTACAAGTCAATGGTCATTAATGATGGTCTTTTTTGTAGTGTTATCAAACACTATGTTAGGATTTGGGGCAAAGCCCTAAGTACCTTAAAGTACTACTCATGAATGGTGGAGGGAGTAGCCATGCAAAGAAATGAAGAAATCATAGAGAAGGTCTTCTCTTTGTGCAGAAAATCCTCCTTCAATCTCCTCCTCCGTATCTTCTTTTCCTCTTCTCCATAAGACATATCCTTCTCTCTCTAACCCCCTATATGGTTTTAAAAAGGGGGCAACCCTCTATTTATAGGAATCATATGAATAGACAAGATCACATGCAACTAATGCGAGATCGTGGTTGTGATCCTTTTCTCCAGACCATGAACTCTGAACGATGACGTGCATGGATGCTTGGGCGACGAGATCATAGATGGACTCTGCAATCGCAAACAGGAAGTCACAAACGTGATCTTTTTCGCGGTCTCTAGTGTGTTTGATCACGCGACAATTGTGAAAACTTATGTATGTCATGTCTGCAGCCTCTTCGAGATCGCGGTTTGGGTGATAAGAAATCACGGTCTCGATCATGTGCACCAACAGTGATCTGTTCACTACCTGACATCTTCACATTCGTGATCTTGGTGCCTTAGTTGTGATCTTCTTTTTTGGCTTCTTTTTGCTTCTTTCTTCCATACTTGTGCTTGGATTCTTTGATAATAGCACTCAAATCTTGAAATGCTAGCTAGAAGATCATGAATATTCAATAGGAAGCAATTCTACGCAAATTCAAGGTCCAAATGCTCTTTGGATGCTTGAGTCCCCATGAAAATACCTAAGAATGAATGCTGAATAACACTATTTTACGTGTTATCAACATCACTCTGTCAAACTATGGTAGAGAACTTTGAGCCTATGGAGTGAGAACCATAAAATGATGGTGCAAAATTGAAAAGTATTGGAGTAGAACAACAAGATGATAGAAAATAATCGCTAGGCCACTGAGTAGGCTAGGATTGGTACCTATTAGGTAAAATCTCAAATTGATGGTCTTAATTCTTGTGTTGATAGATGTTTGAATCAATTATTTGAAGTAGTGAACCAAAATAGAAACGAGTTGGATCAATCTAACCAAATTTTAAACAGAGAAATTGTGCAAATGAGATATTTTCCATTAGGTGGTACCTTCTAATCGACCAACAAAGCTATTGGGCATGAAAACCATCCTCTAAAAGGTGATCGGAATCGCCAACCATGAAAAGATGACTTGCTTCCTTTTAGTGGCAAGCCATCCATCCCCTCACCACACGAACTTAGCAAGATTTTTGCCAATACTCAGCGTGGGAGTTGGGTAACTGCCCCACCATGGTAAAACTCCCAACATCATGTTCAACAAGCGCCACTATAAAATGTTGGTTAACCACTCATATTGGTAGCAAAGCCCTACGTGGCTCCTACCAAAGTGCGTGGGGGAGAAGGTTTAGGTGTCGGAGATCAAGTTCCTCCACATGCCAACCCGACGTCCATGCTAACCCAACTCATTGGCATATCATGGAATCCATGTGGTTTGTGCCACTAGGGGGAAAAAAGGGGGGCATGATGCCAATACCCTAAAGGAGGAGGTGGCTCAACTCATCACTAAGTAACTCGCATTGAACTTTTGAACTTTACCCACTCTAAAGAGATTTTTGTGTGGCTGAATTTGCCACCATATACAACGATTAGTGGTCAGTCCACCTTGTAATTCTCGTTGTTCAAGAAGTCAAAAATTATAATTCATTGAGTATGAACACAAGTTTTCTCGTCGGAAAAATATAGTATTTCAGATATTATTATCTTATGATAAGCCTGATTATTTTTTTCAACTTGCTAAACTAACGTCGAATAGGGTCAGTCTATCTTGAGGCTTCAAAATTCCTCCAACTTTGTTTTCATTTGTGTATTTAGTTTTGTATGGTGGCTATAATTAGCCTCCTAACTATGATTTCATGCTTTAATTTTGTGCTTTTCTACTGACACTTATTATTAATGAACTTCTTTCATCCATCAAATGCAGTGTTAAGGAGTTCATAGTTTTATATATGAGAAATTTGGGATCGATTAGCATGACTACTCCCAAAGGGGTCTAATTTTTGACACCCCCTTTCTCATTGGTCAGTTTTTTTCTCAATCATTTGACAATTATTAATCACAGTTGTTTTTTGTATTTTTTTCATAATCTTGTAATTTGGGAAAGTTCTCAATAATAATTAAAAACTAATTGGGAAGGAGCAATCTTGTTGGATGGGGAAAGCGTCGATTGCTCTTCCAAGTCCAATATTCCCCGTATTTTCTCCAAATAGCAATCCGACTCTCTACTCTACAAAACTCGACGGCGATCGGAAACATCGGGCAGCGTCGCAGTGGGATCGCCTCCGACCCGCCTGGTGGGTTGCTCGTCGGAGGAGGAAGACACGCAGGGGATATCCCCGCCGCCCTTACAACAGGTCCAACCATCCATGTCGTCTGCCGTCCTCCGTCTTCCATCTCAAACATCACCTTCCAACGACTTCCTCTTATCCACGACCTGCGCTTGATCTTTTCCTGTTGACCACCGTCCTTCCACGGTAGAGATTCGATCAACCCTAAGTGGCGGCGACAGAATATGAAGGTGAGGGTGGTACCACTAGGCGACAGAGGAAACACACCAGTAGACTGGTACATGTACCAGTGGAGTGATACTAGTGGAGTGGTACGTGTACCAGTGGAGTGGTACATGTACCAGTGGAGTGATACGTGTACCAGTGGAGTGAAAGTGGAGAGCTTGAACAATGGTGAAAGTGGAGAGTTTGAACAGTGGTGAAAGCGGCGACAGAATCTGAAGGTGAGGGTGGTACCACTAGGCAGCAGAGGAAACGCACGAATGGACTGGTACATGTACCAATGGAGTGGTACGTGTACCAGTGGAGTGGTACTAGTAACCATATGTCCTGTTTAGGCTTAAAAAAAATTGTGAAGACTTTATGTTTATTCACATTCGAAGGATAATTTATTGCTTTTGGCATTGTTGTTGGCATTTCTCTGATTTTGCAACCCATTTTGGAACACAACTTTTGGCTACTAATGGAAAGTTCCTATTTTGTTGACTGATTTAAATGTTTATTGTGTTGCTTGTGCCAGAATTATATTTCATGATCAAGTAAGTATGAGTATTGGTATATTGAGGACAATCTTAATTAGTATCAGTTCAGTGGTATAAGTACCAGTATAGTGGTATAAGTACCAGTTAATTGATATGTATACCAGTCTAGTGGTATAGTACAAGTTCAGTGGTATATATGTACCACTGAAGTAGTATGATTACCCGCTGAAGTTGTGCGAAGACCATTTCTATTCATTACTCGTCGGCAAAGATATTTCAATGACATTGAAAGAAGTTAACCAATAATTATGAGAAAAGAAAAATAATAAAATCAATTCCAAACTTCAAAAGTGGTGGAGACCACAATATTTTCATGACAATATTTTAGGGGTTAGCATAGTATCCGACCCCGAGAAATTTAGTATTAGTTTGAATGGCATTATTGGTTGATTTTTTATTATTATCTACCTAACGTGAGTACAATGTTGGGAATTGTCTCAAGTCATTGATGCAATCAAGTTGAATGATTTCAAATTTAGAATGTCTTAATCAAAATGGAGGTTTTGGAATAAATAATTTCGATTCAATTAAATATTTGTTCTTGTGACATATTACTTTCAGAATTTTTTTTTTTGTAAAAAATGGAATTTAATATTTTAAGCATGAATTTTTTCGACATATATGATAGAAAAAGAAAATGATATGGGGCCGCGGGTACTTTAGGCAAAGTATTGCCGCCAGACTGAGGATGGGATGCAGTTCAAAACCACAAGTCGGCTTTCTAATCTTTGGCGAGGTGTTCTGCGAGTCAGACACTTGATCGAGGATGCTACGGCGTGGAATATAAGGAATGGTCAAGTCGCCAGATTCTGGAGTGACCGGTGGCTGGATGATGAGACAGTTCTCAAAAACCATGGCCCCAATCTTCCCCAAGGGATGGAGGCGATGACTGTAGCAGATTTTGTGCTAAATGGTGAGTGGAATGCTGATTTCTTACGTGCTTACTTACCAGCGGAAGTTGTCTCGCAGGTACACCTACACCCGGTGCCGCAGGAGGCCGAGCCCGACGTCCGAGTTTGGCGACTTTCACAGAACAGAGCCTTCTCCTTTCGCACAGCATAGGAGCTCACGGACACAATGGAGAGCCCGATCCTGAACCAGCTACTCTGGAGAACCATATGGAGGACCCGACGATGCAGTGGGTACGGACCTTTCTCTGGCTGCTCAACCATGATCGTCTACTGACGAACGCAGAGAGAGGGCGTAGAAACCTGACGACTGATACGAGTTGCAAGATATGCGGCGGGGGTCCCGAGACTACCATGCACGTTGTTCGCGACTGTCCTTTTGCGAGAGCCACCTGGGCGGGTCTTCTTGAAGATGAACCAAACTCCACCTTCTTTGAACCTGATATTCACCGGTGGGCTATGCATTATTTATCAGGGCGCAGTAATATCGTGGATAATACTCTGTTTGTAGGCACTTGCTGGCTTCTGTGGAAGAACAAGAATGATCTCCTCTTCCAAGGCAAGCTGAAAACCCATGAGCAAATCCAGTTTATCTCAAAACAGCTCAAACATAAGATCATTACAGCATTGGAGCAGGAGAGTACCATATTTGGAGTCGGGGGACTCCGCGAGTGGCGGGATATCCAGTGGCATCCACCGCCGAGCGGCTGGGCCTGTATTAACACCGATGGCTCAGTCACTCGTTCTCCTGCGAGCACGACCTGTGGCGGCATCGTGAGGGGAGACGATGGACGCTTTATCCGAGCTTTCACAGCAAACTTGGGAGGGGGTTCGATTACTCCTGCGGAGCTGGTTGGGATTGCTTATAGGTTGAGGCTGGCTTGGGAGGAGGGGATCATGAAGGTTGTTCTACAGACGAACTCCTGCACTGCGAAAGCCCTGATCGAAAATGCTACTCCACAACACCCACATTACACTTTGGTGGCTGAGATCCGCCGGTGGCTAGAGCAGGCGTGCTGGTTAGAATTGAACATGTTTACAAGGAAGCAAATTATGTGGCGGATCATCTTGCTTCCGTTGGTCACTCGTTACCCATTGGGGTGCACGGAATTCAAGTCCCGAGTAGTACTTTACGTTACTGGCTGTATTTTGACATTGCAGGGATTCAAACACCCCATCTCATTGGTGTGCAATAAAAGTTAGGGCACCCTTAGCACCCTGTTTTTACCCCCAAAAAAAATGACAACTCTCAAATCATATTCTTAACAACATCCTCTACCTATTACACATAAAGTAGAAAGAAAGAAAAAATGGAATTTAAATTGATATTAAAATCATCAACGATAATTTGTGATTATAAAATGAAATTTAAACCTTTTAATGAAAGTGATACCCAAAAAGAGGAAGGCGTTAGAAAAATGTCTTCTCTCTTGCTCCTCTCATTGGAACCACTAGAAAACAAATGGCTGAAAATATAACAGAAAAAACTAAGATCGAAAGTACTCGGTCATCCTTAGGAAATTCCACCTCGAAACCGAAATCGACTCAAACCACCCAACCCATTAACATTGAGAAAATCAATTTCCTACCCCTAATTATAACTAGCTAGGCTCCCGGAGCAACATCTCTATTGATCTTGTTCTGCATGTACTCACCATATTCTTTGGCACAGTCCTTGACATGGGTAGCAGTGTCAACAATCCGGCTCCTGGCATGATCCACTTGGTCCGAGCCAGGTGGATGCATCCCTCTGAAATAGCTATACATCCATGATGACCCAGCAACGAAGGCCACAAAGCAGCTGCTTAGCATCAAAGATCCGGAGACGAGAACAAACAGAAGCGTGCCAATGGGGATCCATATAGGGCTTGAGATGATTACCAAAGGGGCAAAGAAGAGGAGACTGAGAATTCCTATATTAGTGATTGTGATCCCCGTAAAGAAGAGCAAAAATGTGCCGGTAAGCTGTGTCGATGTGGGTGCATTCCAATATTGAGAGCAACTACTTTGCGCTTTGCGAAGGAATGTTGTTGCAGAGCCACCCCGACTACTGTGTAAGGTTGTCCTGGTATCACTTTTATTCCCTTTTTCCTTATTGATTGGTGGTGGAGATGGACCATTGCTATCTAGCTCCACCATGATTGGTTTTGTTGGCCTTGGGACGCCTGTTGTCGACTTGTGGTTCTCTGTAGCCATAGTTAATTAGGATACTCAAAGATGAAATAAAGAAAAAAATGAATCTGGATAGAGAGGGGAAATAACAAAAAATTTCAAGATTTAATTTTGTGGATTAGTAGAGAAATGATGTTAGAAACATAACTAGATGCTAAAAGAATAAGATTAGACACAAAAAAAGAGGTGAGTTAAGAAAACATATGGTGATTGCACGTGGAAGAATGTAATTTTGTATTTCTCGCAAAATCAGTCGGTCACTTCACTGACTATTTCTTTCTACAGATCTAAGAGTTGGTTGCAAGGACATTGATGTTCAAGAAAGGAAAGAGAAAAGACTCGTGGCATGAAACTTCTCTTCTCCTACTTGTTCGTGTTTCTTTTTTATTTAAATACTCTTGTAGGGGATGACTGTGGTACTTCATCACCACCTATACAAATATTCCGATCATTCCTTAAAATTTAACTCATGAATTTTAGTAATTGAATTAAAAATGCTTCGTATGTAATATGATTTGAATATTCATCCCTATAGTTTTAACTTTTAATAACCCGAGAAAATGTTTTTCTAACAAGAGAAATTTATTTGATAAAAAATAGGATCAATAAGTACAAAAACATAAATAAATTCAGAACATGAATCCAATTTAGATATTTGTCCTATTAGATAGCCACCGAATTAGCCATGTTAATGTCAGATTGAGGAAATAGAAGTAAACCTAGTTTCAGTTAGAAAAATAGAGAACATGGGGATACCAAAATATAATACTGCTATGATCACTGGTTGGAGGAAAAAGAAGTAGACCTAGTTCCAATAAAAATGCATCTGATGGGTAGAGAGAAAGTGACGAAGGAGATCCCTAGTGTGAGAATGGAGTTCAAATCCATCACAAAGGATTGAATATTGAAGTGCAAGAATAATAACCCAACTTTCTAGGATGTTTTCTTCTCTTGATTTGGTGTATTTCTCACTCTCCCATCATGAGCTAGACTTTCAATCACTTGAGTGTTGTTGAATTCCAGATGTATATGTTAGATTAGATGAATGATAGATTTCTTTATTTGATTGACTCTTGTCTTGATTATATATAAGTTTGAGGTATTTCATGAATTATGTTGGGTATTGATAAAATCCTCTCAATTATGGCTATTAACATAAGGTAGATAATATCCAATTAGGCTGATTAGAGCACTCACCTCAATCTTCATTGTGGATCGATGGGTCGAGCATGAAATCGAGCTACAATGTTGTATTGGATTTCATTCGAATAGAGGGAATCTATTTGGCACACCCTAGACGTTCTATTTCGTTGGATGTGGAAAATCTCACTCTGGATAATCTACTCTAGGTGAGGTTGAGTAACTCAAAAGGGAGATCAATCAAGAATAGGATTCTACATGGTGTAATCATGAGTTGAAAAACTTGGATAATCATTTGTCTGTCTATTTTGGAACTAGAGGGATACAACACCCGAGTAACTTTCTCACTATAGTTTCTACCAAACTTTCCTTCTCTTTGTTTTCGTAGTACTTAGTTAATTCAAACCTTTGGTTCACTAGATAACAAGGCAGTCCTTGAAGAAATAGTACATTTGACGCCCAAGTTGATAATTAAACTTCACTTCCACTATATTACACCCGATTGTGGCACTTGGCCATGGTTGGGATAGTAGTCACATTGGGAACAAGCAAAGTTTTTTGCGCCGTTGTCAGGGACACGACAAGTTATTAGGAAATTTGACTATTGGTTACTCTAGTTTTGTTTTGTGTTTTTTTTTGTTGAGGTTTGTCACATGTGTAGGATCCGGAGCAACGTGGGAGACCTGTACCCGATCAAATACAAATCAACCAGACCTTGCGGCATCTAGCAAGGGCGCGGGAACTAAGAGAAGCTTGAGAGAGGTTGACCACCTGCAATCCTCCAGAGCAAGAAGAAAGAGAAGTTGAGATTGAAGTTGAAACCAGGGCGGGGGAGAATCAAGTTCACAATCATGTGAATAGCAAAGGGAAAAATGAGGAGGAACCAGTGAGAACAATGGGGATACTACTTCACCCCAAGCTCGCGGACATCCAACTAAGCAATCCGACGTCCTCCATTTGCCAGTATAAACTTCAAGATCAAGACAAACCTCATCTCCGTGATCCAGAACAACATCCAATTCTTCGGGCTCAACCATGAGGCTCTAAGAGACCACATCAATTGGTTCTTTGAACTCACAGATGGGATTAAGGTGAATGGGGTACCTCAAGAAGAGCTTCATATAAGGTTGTATCCTTATTCATTAGTGGAAGAGCAAGGCTATGGCTCAATAATCAAGCTCCTTTATCCATAATATCTTGGGAAAATCTAATGGAGAAGTTCATAGCGAGGAACTTACCACCATCAAAGGCCGTCACACTTTAAAAATCCATCACCTACTTTGCTCAAGAAGATGATGAGACACTCAATATGCTTGGAAATGGTGCACAGAGCTATTCCTCCAATGCCTCAACCATGGTTTTGAAGACCATTTTAATGTTGGGACCTTCTACAACAAGTTATTCAAAGAAAATCATATGCTTATATACTCCTTATGCTAAGGAGACATGTTTAGCAAGACGCCACCTCAAATAACAAAAATCTTTGAGGAGACAGCGACATGCGGCTATGATTGAGGTATCATAAGAAGAGGTCGGAATTCAAGGGTAAAAACACTAATGTGGTGGAATCCCAAAGTTCACTCGAAGTCAAGATTAATGAATTGATTAAGACCATTAAGACTAATGATAATGCTTCAAGTAGCCTACCTAAAGCTTAAGTGCACCTTTATGAGTGGTGCCAAAGTCCGAATCATGCTATGGATGAATGCCAAGTGATGTTGGACCTGAATGCGTCCCAAGATCAAGTCGACTTCATTGCCGATGCTAGGGGAGGTAATAATCCATATAGCAACACCTACAATCTGGGGTGGCATCAACATCCCAACCAATGTAGTAAAAATGCATCTTAAAACGTCAAAACACACATTTTTAGGTTTATGAGTAGAAAAACGATTAAGTTTCTATATAAAAACGTATAAAAAAGTGGTCAAAAATACGTTTTTGATCCATTTTTGTCCATTTTCAGTTGAAGGAGTTTCAACCAATTTCACACCCTCTCTTCCGACAAACCAGATATCATAATACCAATCCCCACGGTCAAATCAACCAAAATTGAGTTTTAAATAAGTCCTCAAAGTTTGAGGACGATCCACAGGTTGGTTTTTCCAGAATCCTCCCTGGAACCAACTGTCAAGCTATAGGAAAACAAGGTCGCACTCTGTGTGACCAGCAACATTTCTCAACGAACCAACCATTATAACCCTAGCCTGGTTATACTTGGCTTTGTTAGGATTGACTAGTGTGTGCACTTAGACTTTAGAAATTTAAAACTCAATTGAAGCAGCGATCGGTTAGCATTAAATTCAACAATTCAAAGTAAGTTACACTGTCAAAGGTACCATATGGTGACTCATTTGGTAGCTTGTCATGTGCTATCTTTGTCATCCTGGTTTTTCGAGGGGTTCAACTTCATTTCTTGGCTGCCGTGTGTGTATACTTAAGACTTCTATCTAAATCTTCTTTTCCTCTTAATTGACTCATTCATTGGCAAACAAAAAAAAAAAAAAAACAGAAGCTTCACTTCATCATCTTCTTCAATGGTCATTATTGTTCTTCCATTTTGTTTGAGATTAATCATAGATTAAAGGATAATCAATTTTACAAAGTAAAACTTTATTCCCAAAATTTGAAGTCGATGAATGAGTGACATGTTCATTCCCTTCTAATTCCTTATAAAAATAACTAATTGTGAGCTTGTAGTGGATACTTTGTAAATCCTTTTGGGTTTTTGTCTAAAGACCCTACAAGGAACAAGGTTAATTTCTACAAAGAAAAAGGATCTGGATTAAACAAACATCAACCTTCCGGGGGAATAAGAAACAACATAAAATAGGCTACTGATGCAAAAGCTCTAAAGCTTTCAACAACGTGGGTCTAAACCTTTTCACATCAAGCTTTACATTTTGATTGTCTAAGTAAATAGATTTGAATAGATCCCAATTTTCTTTTGCAAAGGACCACGGCTTGGTGAAAACGACGTCGTCAGGTGGATAGTGTTCTATCAAACTGCTCTCTTCTCTTTTGATTTTATACTCCAAATACCTTACTTTCATGTTCTCCGACGGCTCTCGAAAATAAGTTTTCGAAATCCAGTCCGCTCCCAGCGGAACAACCTGAACCAAAATTGCATTATCCGGAACAAAAACCATATTGGTCAACCCTGCTCCGTGGACTCCCATCACCACATCACAAGAGTTCATAATCTCTGCCGACTTTGAGATGTTTCTATCCGGCTCTGCAACTGTTACTTGGTACCCAAGTGTTCTTGCCATCCTTGCAACATCATTGACATTTGTGAATGCTCGAGTTCTCTTACGCGATATGATAAGAAGTTGTGGCCTCGATTTCTTGTCATTGGATTGTAGTTTGATTGCGGCTGCCTTCTCTAATGAATAGGCATTCCTTAGGAATTGTTTGAAGTCTACCATCGTGTATTCAGATTCCGATGGGTTGATGTTGAGTTCTTTTTTGTGCCTCCCCTTTAGGCCTAGTATTAGCCTTGAGAAACAATGAGTTTTCTCGCTTTGTTGTTCCTTGTCAAGATCCATCGAATTGTACCTGGATTGAGTGAAAATATATCAATTTTACCATACTAGATACAATTAGAAAGTTTGATTTTTTCTGAAATATGGATGAAGACATTCAACTTGCTACGAATTTGAATGAGGACATCAATGATGGGGGAAAAAAAAGCATATACTCTCCATCTAGATTTAGATATTACGTTGTAAGTGACAATTATATTTGTATAATGCACCCATAATTAATTGTTTCCTTTAGTTTCATCAATCTTTTTTTCACATAATCCTATCAATTCCGTAAATCAATGATACGACCTATAAATAATTACACTCCTTATTTCGCAAATTTGAAATAGTCTTTTTCAATCAAAGTATAAGAGGGTTGTAATACTAATTTTTTGATGATCAAAAGTCTAATTTGTAACGACACGGTTTCAAAATTTTGAACTGATATGAAATGGTCACTCTCTTTAAGTTGTAACCGTTTTGTTCTAAATAAAAAGTTTTGCTACCAAATGTAACTGTTTTGTATTAAGTGCAAAAGTTCGTGACTTTTTATAGTTGATACTAATTACTCGCATCTTCTCAAATAACAGAGTGAAAAGAGAAAAAAAACGAAGCGTACCTAGACAGTGCCCGGAGTATAGTTCCGAACTTGGCGACCAGCCACGGTTGATGGTCGGTTATGAGCAGCTCCACTTCTCCGTCGAACCGCCTTGCGGTGGCGAACAGCGGGACGAGAACATCGGTGAAGGCGTGGAAATGGTTGCCGGCGAACCCTCCGAGAGAGAAAACAACCCCCGGAGATTCGTGAATTTGAGAACAAGCCGGCAAGTCCTTGTCGTCTTGAGCAACCATTTTCAGCGACCATTCTCTCACCAAACCCATGGCGACCTCGTCGCCCTTTCGCCCGTAGGGCTTTATCGACATTGTCGAAGCAGTCTTGTTTTGGCCTCCCGCGCCAACGTAGTAAACCGTTGCTGAACCGGGATCAACCCTGACGTCACCGTTCAAGTCGCAGAAATCCGATCTTTCACCCTTACTGCACGTAACAGGGATTCGGCTCTGTTTTTTGCTCTGTTTTTCCATCCCACCATCTGTGGAGGATTTTTTTAAAAAAATGAAAAAAACAGAGAGACATGCTCTGTCATAATGTTCGCAGAGGTCAAACAACGTTAATTATATAGGTGAGTCGAATAATGAAGGTAGTTAGTGGGGAAGAGCAGGCCATAAAGTAATCTCCGATTAGGTAGTTAGTCACAAGAGATTCACTACTTACCCTCCATCTCCCTCTGCTACCAAATTGAATATGAAACTTGAAATCAATTAATTAAAGAGCAAAGAACATGAATTCCCTTGGTGTCAGCCTGCTGCCATGAACTTCCCTCATTTTTACAAGAAATTAGTATTATATACCGAGAGTCGTCGGGGGGAATTATTAACCCGACTCCAGCTAGCTGTTTTTTCCAATTTGGTGCTGTCTTAGCGGGGAAAATGAAATGGTTTGGTGTTGACAAATGACGTACCATTATTGTTGGTGGTGTTCATTTCTCTATGGTTCATTGTACTTACGTCATTCTTCGTCGTCGTTGTCGTCGTCCTTCTGCTCTGTTTAACAGAAGCTGCTGCATATTCATGGAACAAACTGTGATCAAACATCAAACAATAACTGGGAATCCCGAAAAGGATTTGATTGAATAACATCACACAGTGTTGTTTTAGGTAATTTTGATAGATAGATAGATAGATGAATTTTATTTTAACCCTTTTCCGCCTTCACTAAAAATTATGTTACATGCAGAGTCAAACATCTTTTTGCCTTTTTTTTTTTGTTTTTGTTTTGCTTTCTAGCAGCTGAAGGGGGGGAAAGAGCAGAATTACTCACGATTTGGTGTGTGCTGCATTGAGCCGCTTGTATGATTCTCCATGGCAGGAATGTTGTTGGGGGTGATTTCCACGTCTGTAGAGGTAATCATCCATGGACGAATTGAGTTGGTTATGTACATGGAAAGTCTTGAACAGAGTATTAGCTTGAGGGCAGCCATACTTACTCTTCTTCTTGGCCATATGGAGCAGGGAGCTGGCTGTATCATTGACCATGTACAACTTCTGAAACAGTCCAGGAGACCACCTTAGATCCACTACAAACAGAGGAAAGGATGTCATCAGAAGGAGAAGAAAGACACATAAATGAAGTTGAGATAGAAAAAAAAAAGGGATTGACTTGAGTTACTACGTACAAGGAGAAGGCAGGGGACCCCATTTCTGAGGCTTGAAAATGGTGCAGAAGCTGAGGAAAATGAGGAAGCAAATGATCAGTGCCCCTCTTCCCAACTTCTTCTGCTCGTGTTTGGTGAAGCTTCTCGCCAGCAAGCTATCATACATCATCATTTTTCTTTTTCCCAACTTTTGATCAAAAGTCTTTTTCCTTTTCCCCCTTCAGAATGGCAAATTGGAGAAGCAGCAGGTAGTCATTGTGGTGATGGCAGAGCTTGTTGCTCAAACATAAGATGATGATGATGATGAAATGGAAATGGAAGGAGCAATAGAGACAAAAAATCGAGAGCTATTGAAAGATATAGGGAGGGAGGATGTAAGAAAGGAGGGGTTCACATAATTATAACACAAATAATGTGTTAGTTTTGAGTTGTTGCTCCCCACGTATAATCATGTTTCCCATACAAGATTCTGTTTAGTTTTGTGCAAAGGAGTTTGATAGAGACAATTGAGAGGAGAGAGAGAGGTTGACTATTGAGATACACCAATCGGCAATCGGGCAGGCACCTTATTCTTGGTGGCCGATGGACAAATATACATTCACTATGTTGCCGGCAGCAGCCAAGGGGCACTTAAATTCATTACCTTTAGAAAAGAAGAGTTACTCGCGACCTATTACACACTACTACCGTAGGTTAAGTATAATTTTGAGATGAGTGTAATATAGAGTAAGTATATTTTTAATTATCAATTCGAGCGGTTCATCTATCCTTAATTCAGTAAAAAGAAAACAAATTATCTAGCGAACAGAACGTTGTTTAAAAATTATCAAATTAAGCAAACAAACAACTTAAACGATGTTGAGTTCAAGATGGGAAGGCTCAACTCGGATGATTATCCCCCTCGTCCCGTGTTGAGATGAAATTGTGATACTCTAGTTCGATTGGCAGGTTTTATATACCGTTCGGAGATCTAATATAGTCAGGCCCCTTATTTGAGTGCATCCTAACCCGCCTATTTGTTCTAATTGGAGGGACGTACCACACTACCGCAATAGACGACTAGTGAAACCAAATTCACTCCCTCGGGTATTGACCCGGAACGGCATAAATACACCAATCACCTTAAATGAAGGCTCTCTATGATGATTGAATAGTGACTCAAATTTCCATAAGAAGATATTCTTTCTCTCATGTCAATTTGGCAAAATATTGAAAGAATTTATCAAGAACACTCAATTTACATGACAAATACTCAACCAATTTATAATTAAACATGTCCATCATCACATAAAGTTCACAAACATCAATCTAAATCATCCAAGTAAAAAGAGAAACTACTCCATAACTAGAGAAAGCACAACAACTAAAAAATAGGAAAAACCCAACGGAGCTTGATTCTTACTCTTTTTAACTAGTTTCTTGGATTGATCATTGGAAATGAAATTTGGAATTTTCTAGAATACGACAAAAAAATTCCAAAAATACCACCGATCGTAGAGGAATCAAAATAAATTCCCGAGCGCAAAGTTATGCGTAATTAAAAATTTTTCGTTACGATCGGATACCCGAGCGCAAAGTTACGATTGTTCTACCCCCGCGGTTTCTCAGAACGAATGGAAACCGCCGGGTGAGGTGGCAGTTTTCACAAAAAACGCGGGGTGGTGGTGGTTTTTGGAAAATGGTGGTATTTTTGGAATTTTCCGAAACTGAGTGGTATTTTTGAAAATTTTTTGGTGGTATAGTTGGAAAATTTCCTTGAAATTTAGCCTTCTTTTGGCTTGGGAAGGTCAAATCCACCTTCAATTCTCCCTTGTTCGTTAGCTTCTCTTTCAAGGGTAAGGAACATGAAACTCTCCTTACATAGCTCGACTGTGCATGTTTCACGGTTGAACATCACACCCGTGTGTTTCATTAACACACTTCATGGTTTCCATGTTGTCTTCATGGTTTAAGACCATGATTCTTGGATTGCCTGCGAGACAGACGAAAGCTCCTGAAAATCTGCGAGCTTCACGACCTCCTTGTAATGTTCACAGTCTGCTGTCCATGATAATTACACCAAACCATGATCCATGCACTTTTCACCATTTTGCTTCCTTTTCGATCCTTTTTGTCTGAATTTCAGGTATCGTTTGCTTGTGGGATTTGGGTGATGGATTTGGCACCCAAATCCCAAGCATCAAGGACTTGGCACAAATCCATTGTTTGCTAAGTGACACAAATCCGTGGGGTCAACGGATTTTGACCATTTTTTTTAGATCTGAATCCGTGGACTCCACGGATTTGTAAATCCCACATTTCATTTTGGGATTTGATAATGGAAGGCAAAATTGTGTGAGACAAATCCATCATGAATCCATGATAAAAATTAACTAAGCAAACAATGTATTCTTCCAAATCTATAATGCAACAAATCCATCATAAACCATGATCCTCTGCTGTAGTTTGTGAGCTTATCTTCTTCATCTTCCTACACTTGCTGCTCTAAACTCCCTTTAATTTTATCGAAACCAACACATTGATACCTAAACATTTCAATATACAATATCAAGCAATCCTAGGCTAAAATGTATGTTTGAATTTCAATTAACCTCAATAAAGACATGGAAACACCTAGATAAAGAATACCAATAACACATATTTACTATTTAGGTGTTGTTTAAGATTATACGCAAGTGTGGTTTCTCGTTTCTTTTAACCTTTTGAATATTAATTAATTAAAAAAGAAACAATATAATGTATGTCTTTCTAATTTTTTTTTTGTTTTATTTATAATACAGGGAACCTCGCCCCACGTGCCGCTTGAGCGACAGCAGGGCCTACTAAACCACTTGGGGTACCTGCATACTAACTAAAGCTTTCTGCTACCAACATCGGGGAGGCTTCCCCTCCGATACCAAGGGTGCCGCCGGGAACGCTCAAGTGGCGCCACTGGGAATCGAACTCAAGACCTCCCACATCAGAGCTCAATTGATCCAGTGGTTTCACCACTAGACTGTGTTACCTTTGGCTCTTTCTAAATTTTTTTCATTCATTCCTTTTGATTAATCCAATGATTATTAATAATTTAAAAATTACTTTAAAATTCCAATTAAAATTCGTGCCAGACTTCCATCCTCCTATCATTTCGTTATTGTGTTTGTTAATATATATACACTACACCAAAATCAATTGAAGAAAAGGGAAACTATTATTTTTATTCGAATGAGATTAGGGGTTAACGCCCGGTTGACTACTATGATAACACTTAGATTAAAATAATAATCATAAAATCCGAATAAATAGAAGAATAGTTAAGCCAATTCTTATCACAAACTCTAATGTAAAAACTCTCATATCCACCTCTCTTCTCTCATTGTCACATATCCTCTCCCTCTTTCCCACACCTCTCTCTACACGACCCCTATTCCCCTTACCCGCTTTCGGAACTGCTCGTTTTCATCCTTGCCATGCATGCCTCAGTACCTCTCATGCTGTCACTTACCCTCTCTCAGCTTTCGTTTCATAAGGGCATTTTCGTCCCACTAACCGTTCTTTTCTTGCTGCAGTTACCAGCCACGATCTCCCGCAGAACTATCGAGAAGCCTTGGTCGATCTGCCCTGGTGTGAGGCAATGCTACAAGAGATATGTGCCCTCCAACAAAATGGAACATGAGACCTCATCAATTTACCCCCACGGAAAGCGTACCATAGCAGCTAAATGGGTGTTCAAAATCAAGCATCACCGGGATGGAACTTTGCAGCGATACAAAGCTCGCCTAGTTGCAAAAGGCTACACCCAGATCAAAGGAATTGACTTCCATGATACTTTTTCTCCAGTCGCAAAGATGGTCACCGTTCGATGTCTTCTTGCTGTGGTCGTCAGTCGCGGTTGGCATCTACATCAACTTGATGTCAATAACACATTTCTACACGGATATCTTGAGGAGGAACTGTACATGAACTGTACATGAAGCTTCCCCCTGGTTTGAAGGTCCAGGTGGTAGTCAAGTTTGTCATCTTCGTAAGTCCCTCAATGGTCGTCGTTAGGCTTCTCGCAACCGATACTACAAGTTCACTACTGCACTGTCGCCTAGGTTTTGGGTCATCTCCTACAGATCACTCTCTGTTTATTTTTTTGCCCGGGGGGGGGGGGGGGGGGGAGCACTTTTGTTGCTACTCTCATCTATGGTGATGACATTATATTGACTTGAAATGATCTCTCCTTCATCAGTTGTGTCAAACGCTTCCTCAACAATGAATTCAAAATCAAGGATTTAGGTGATCTTCGCTACTTTCTGGGTATGGAGCTCGCGCACACCCGTTATGGAGTTGTCTTATGTCAGAGGAAGTATACTTTGATATCCTCAAAGACGCTGGTGTGGAAGGTGCTCGGCCTAGTGCCTTCCCGGTCGAACATAATCATCACCTCACTCGTCCTACGTTGGACGACAAACTTCTCGCTGATCCTCCTAGCTTTCGCAGACTTATTGGGTGTCTTCTCTACCTCATGGCGACGCATCCTGACATCACTTACAATGTCAACATCTTGAATCACCTCGTCACTGCTCCTAGTAGGAGCCACATGGATGTTGCGATTCAAGTCTTGTGCTACCTCAAAAATGTGTCGGGACAAGGTATTTTCCTTGGGATTCAACAACACCACCTCTTTAGATTTCCGGGAGACAGTCCTTTCCAACGGCGGTGATTTCCGGGAGAATTCCCATTGTGGAAGACCGGAGCGGTTACGGGAAGAGAAACCATCTGGGGTCCTTAGCCACTTTAGATTTTCAGCCCGCCCACTAATGTCGAGCGTCTCTCTCGCTCGGAGAAGGTCCGACCAGGGTGAGTGATTGCGGAGCGCTATATGAGTTCTATCCAAGGGCGGCACTGGGAGAAGCCCTGGCCGGCGGAGGAGAAGCGGCGGGAGATGAAGTTGCGCACGGCCGACGTCGTGATTGGAGGCTGGGTTTCGGGCTAGGAAGTGAGGTTCGTCACCGGAGTGGCAAAATGGCCGTTTTTTCTAACGGCAGCAACCCTCAAGAGATCCGCCAGTTACAATTCCAGGAAATGTGGTGGTTACGCTAAACTAGCGGCGGTTCAGATATGTAGTCCCTCTCCTCTTTATTCTTATTATTTATCTAGTTCCTTTTATAGTTATCCTCCCAATTTATATTTTTCAATTATTCTTTCCATACTTTCCTCCTTAATTTTATTATTTATGTATTTCCATTAATATAGTTTCAAACTCTTTTACTTTTCCTTTCCTTAACCGTTCGTATATAGCAACCTTTCATTAACTATATGGTAAAAAAATTGTTATTCTTTTGACATTGTTAGCTTTGGATTCGGAGTATCCGACTAAGCCTCAATGGCTTGTTTAAGTCCATTCGGTGGAACTTAGTTGTCCTACAGTATGGGCGCTTGTGTGTTTGTTTGTTTTGCAGGGGCACCTAGTTTTCCCTCGACCATACAAGAATCCATCCATTAAGCTTCTCAGTTAAAGTTGGCACGGGCCTACAATTGTTGGCGGTTCTGCATGCACGTCGCAATGGGAATGGATACTCTGCTTTTGCTATCGGCAAGGATGACCTATCCTCTGGCTTTGGCGCGTGTTGTATACCCGCTTGTATCCTTTGTTACATTTCTTAGGATACCGACAGAGCTGCCCATTTAGTGGCTAAAAAGGCTCTTTTATCGACAGATTGATTAGCTATCGACCGCCGCATTTGAATATTTAATTTTCTACATATTTGTAAGCATACTACATTGTACACCTACCTTTATTTTTATACACCTATCTATGACAAAAAAAAGGTAGTTTCCTTCTGCGTCATAATGCTCTTACGCTTACTTCACACTGTGATGCAGATTGGGGTGGATGTGAGCGCACTCGCTGCTCCACGACGAGTTATTTCATTATGCTAGGCGGGAGCTGATCTTCTGGCG